ATATATATATAATTTCCCTTTCATGGTCATTTTGACTTGGGGAAGAGCCAGAAGTCACACGTTTCCAGATCCAGTGCATAAGGTGGATGAGGACACAGGGTCATGTTTTTCTGAGCCTGCCCTGCTTTTGGATGGTGGTCGGTAGTAGCATTCACTGTATTTTTTGCCTAATTTTTTGTTACTTTTTAACTATTTTTCAGGTTGTTTTCTTTATTAGTATATGTTTGTAATACACAATGCTCACATTCCCGTCTGGAGCTGGTAGTGTAACAACACATCTTAATTCTTTTTTTTTTTTTAATCTCCTTTCCCTTCCCTGTCTCTTCTGTCCGTATCTTGGTCCCTTTCCCATTTGAAAAAGACCTGCCTGCCTACTTCCTATTATCTACCCTTTAGTGTGCTCTTTATTTATATGTTGGGTCTCTCATATAAGAGAAAGCATGCAACATTCAAGCTTGCGTTCTGATTTATTTCACTTAATATTATGGTCTCAAGGCGCACCCAGTTTCCTTCTTTATGACAGAGTAGGGCTCCATTATGTGTAAACAGCACCTTTCCTTTATCCATTCATCTGTTGATGGACACATAGGCTGCCTCCCGGATTTAGCTACTGCGGATTGTGTAGCTATAAACACGGGTATGCGTGGATCACTGTGATATGATGTCCTTAACCCTTTGGGGAAGATCTTTAGCAGACTAATACCTGGCCAAATAGAATTCCTGGTTTTAGTGCTTTGAGGAATCCCCACACTGAGGCCCACAGTGGCTGTACTGGTTCCACTCCCACCACCAATGGAGCAGGGTCCCTTTGCCCCACAGCCTCCCCAGCATTTGTTATTATTTGATTTCTTCATGATGCTCATTCTCTCTGGGGTAAAATGGGATCTCAGTGCAGTTTTAATTTGCATTTCTTTAGTGGCCAGAGGTGTTGTGCATTTCCGTATTTATCAGCCATTTGTACTTCGGAAGAGAGTCTGTTCATCTCACTGTCCTGTTCTTGTATGGGACCTCCACTTGGAAGCTCTGTTTCTTTTTTTGTCTTTAGTTCTCTGTATAGCGGTACCTCAGTTCAAGAAGCTTAATTCATTCTACAATTTTGGAAAAAATAACCACATCTGTGTTTGTGCAGGAAGGATGACCCCAGCCATGTCTGGCACCTGATGTAGAGTTTGCAAACAAAAACAAAACTTTGACAAATGCTCTTGTTTGCAAACGGAATTGTTCTTCCAGAACTGCCAAGAACAATGGGGCAAGTGTGTCTGAAGTGTAGGGGAGGATTTGGAGGGGGAACAATGTCATGGTGTAGTTTACCGTACTCATTTTCTTCATTTAAACATTCATGGGATATTTCGGTCACCCCCGAATCTTGAGTTCTGCACTTGAACTCATGTTCGTTTCTCTCTTGGCTTTGTCCCTGCTTTCTTCTGGGTATTGCTTCCCCTGTCTATTAAATGAGGCGTTGGAGGTGAACATAGTGTATACTCCTATGATCCCAACACTCAGGAGGCTGAGGCAGGAGGATCTCTGCGAGTTTGAGGCCAGCTAGGGCTACACAATGAGTTCAAGGCCAGTGTGGACCACATAGCAAGCCCTATCTCAAAAAACCAAATATGTAGGTGGGTGTGGGTGTGTTGGGTGGGTGGGTGTGGGTGTGTGTAATGAGGCATTGCACTGTGTGGTCTCAGCATTCAGTGGCTGTGGACCCTGAGTGTGTGGCCCCCTCCCCGCAGGTGCTTTTGCCAGAAAGGCTACGTGGGTGACGGCTTCACGTGCTATGGAGACATCATGCAGAGGCTCCAGGAACTGGACACTGCACCCGGAGGGAAATGGCAAGGAAGGGTGACCTCGTTCATCTCGCTCCTGGGTAGGTACTCAGGGTGCTGCGCAGGGACGCGGCCTCCCTTCCCCCCAAAGGCAGCCTCCTCTGGGGCAGGGCCCCTGCAAGACACTGGCAGTGGGAAGGGCCAGGCAGGTCCAGGGATCCGAGGGGGAAGAGTAGGCGTCCAAGACTTCCAACCTAACATCCATTCGGCCAGTCAACCGAAATCGTAGATAAGTGGTCAACAGAAGCCTTACTATCCCAGATTTATATTTGAATCTATGGGTCACTGAAAATGATTTTGCAGAAAGAACACAAGTAAGGACGTTAGTATCCTGCCTGGTCCATGCTGTGTTCTCTGCATAAATCTGCATGTGTGTCCTCATTCGTATCCCCCTGTGCCCAAGGCATCCCTGGAGTGATGTTTTACCATAGCAACGTGGGCTTGGGGACATCATGCCAGCCTCCCTCTAAGAGCTCTGCCAGATGGCAGCAGACAGGGTCATAGAGGGACCCTCGAACATCCCCCTGGACAGAGGCCGATTGCCCATTCACCCTCCCGTACCAAGTGCTGGCCCACATGGCCTCCTGCGTGAGAACACAGTGCCCAGGCTGAGGGACATAGGCTGAGCGTAATCCACAGGGTCTGGGGCAAAATGAAAACGTCAGCTGCTTCGTTGAAATATCGCGGTTCCAAGTGGTGACAGCGGAGCGTGAGTCCGATGAGGGCCTCTCCAGAGCGGATCCAGGATGGAAGTGGGGGCCGCGGCCTTGCTCGCGAGATGGCCCTAGCTCAGAATGCCAGACTCAGTTAGTGTCAGGGACCTGAGGCGTCAGGGGAACCTGTCCTGTGTGGCCTGCTCATCCGGGTACCTGTGCGGCTAGGGCTGGGGGAGGGCACCTTGCAGGACGCTGCGCAGATAGGCAGGGCCAATGCTTCGCGGTGCCTCATATCCTTAGAGAGCTTCTCGGTGGACGCAGGGCCTGCGAGTAGCAAGCAGACCTGAGCAGGGCTCCGATGGGCGTCCCGACCCACGGCCCTCCCGCAGCCGCGCTCGCCAGCACCTCTGACCTGCCTGCCTCTCCCTTCTCTGCATGTCTCCACTTCTCAGACGGAGCTTATGCCTGGCAGCTGAGCGGCCTGGGACCGTTCACCTTGCTGCTGCCCGCGGAGCAGGAGCCGAGCTCGTTCAATGTGAGTGTTTAGAGCGGCCCCGCACCAGGGCGAATACAAAAGCTTTCCATGCCATGACTTCCTCTGCTTAAAGTGGGAGACTTCTATTCAGATTAAAGCTAGCCAGGCGTGGTGGCGCACACCTGTAATCCCAGCCCTCGGGATGCTGAGGCAGGACGATCCCTGTGAGTTCGAGACCAGCCCGGGCTACACAGTGAGTTCCAGGTCAGTCTCACTACATAGTGAGACCCTGTCTCAAAAAACCAAAAAAGAAATAGATTAAAACTACTGATGTTGCGCTCGGGGAGCTTTTGATAAACGTTCTTTCAGTTTTTAATTGCCACTTGCTACTTGTACAGATGTATGCACCACCGTGTGATACTTTGATACATTCATACAATGCACCAGGACCACATCAGGGTAATTAGCATTTCCACCTCCTTAAGCATTGATCATTTCTTTGCATTGCACAACTTCAAACTCCTCTCCTCTGCTCCTTTATGAAATATATTATAAGTTGTCATCAGCTGTCTTCAGCTCACTGTGCTATAGACCTCTAGGATGTATTTCTCTTGTCTAACTGTATAAGGTGTGCTCGAAATATGTGGCGATGCTTCCACAGAACAAATTTATTACAGTGAAAGACACACTGCTATCGATTCCCCCTCAGAATCCTCCCCCGGCTTCAAATACACACACCCCGTCGTTCCTGCCACTTTCTGAAGCAGCCCTGGGGACCCGCTTTCCTGAGTGTCTTTTACAGGATGTGATCAAGAATACAGGAAATGGGTGTGAAAAAGTACAAGAGTCCATAAGATCCTAATGGGATGATTGTCAATGTGAACTAGGAAGAAAAGGGCTAAAGGTGTAGGGGAAGTGGGAAGGGTAGGGGAAAGGGAATAAGGGTAGAGAAAAAGACTGAGAAAATGAAAAAATGGAAATGAAGTGTTTGTAAATGGGGAGGGGAACAGGGGGTGAAGGGAGGGCAGGGACAAGAGGGAAAAATGAGAACCAAGACCTGGCATGTAGAGGTACAAGATCCCAAGGATGAATGGAACTGTACTGCATACCTAAAATGCACCAATAAACTCAATGAGAGAAAAAAAAAGAACACAGGGAGTGTCACTGCCGAGTGCCATCCGACGGAAAGGCAGACTCACAACTGCGTGCCAGGGCGTCCTCGGCCACCTGATTCACCGGATCTGGCACCGAGTGACTTCTGGCTCTTTAAAAATCAAAATGGCCATGAGAGGGAAGCATTTTCAAATGGACACTTGACCTCAGGGAGCCACCAAGCTAGACACTCAAGAAGGAATTTCCAGAACTGCTTCCAAAAGTGGCAGAATGACAGGATAAGTGTGTCTGAAGTGTGGGGAAGGCTTTGAAGGTGCATTCATGGCAATGTGTCTTTTAGTCTAATAAATTGTCTTTAATGCGAACATTCACCATGCGGTTTAATCCACCTCGTACTTCAGTACCCGCTGCACCACCTCTCTAGCCCTACTTCCCAGTGTCCTCTTGTCTCTAGTGATCGCCACTATATTCTTTACTTCTGTGAAATCAGATCTCTTAGAGTCCACGTGTGAATGAAAAAACACAGAGTTTGATAAACTTCTTTGAGTGAAATGCCCTTATGGGAAGCCTACAGACCACACTGAGTGAATTCTCCAAGGCGGCAGCACCTGTGTAGCCAGCGAGTCCGGCACCAGCGTTCTAGAGGCCCTTCTGTGCCTCCTTCAGTCATTCCCTATCCAGGGTAACCCTGAGGCTCTTATCACATAGCCATGCGATAAATAAGATTTGTATGATCGTTTCCCACTAGAAGAATGGTGTGAATGCCTTAGCTAGGCATTTGTGTCTTTAAAATTGTCAAAAATTGTAGCAGTGGTAGAGGACACAAAAAGAAGAATTCACTCATCGATGTGAGCAGGTGACGCTTGAGAAAATCATCCAGTAGGAACTAAACTTGTGTCCAGGGGAGGAACCCTACTTGGGTGACATCAATGAAGTGGTCCTGTTCAGTGTACTGCAAATAATGGGCTTACTGATTGCTATGCAGTTGGGCTGACTTAACCCAACGAGCGCAGTGGTGACGATTTTTGCCTCATTGCATCAACACCCAGTGAGTTCCAGGCTCGGTCACCCTACAATCCCCACCGCCATTCATGGGCCCCCCCATAAGTAGTCCGCTGGTGACCCTCAGACGTCCTGGTCTCTCTTGTTGGTGGGGGGGAGGTTGTCTCTAGTTGAGTCCCTAAGGTTTGCGCAGAGCTGATGAGAAGCACCTGCTTGCTGAGGGATGACTGGCGGTGCACCGGTGGCAGAGTGTGGATTCGGCCCGGGGACTTCAGAGAGCTTTATGGCTCAGAGGCATCATCAGCCCGCAAAACGTCAACGTGTCTCCTGCCCGTCCTCCTGGGCTCGGGCGGATTCTCCAGTGCCCGCCACCGACTGGTCTTCCCGGCACCACGGCTGTCTGACAATTGCTGCAGCCTCCGCTGACTCAAGAAGAACTCGGGAAAGAGGCCAGAGCGTGCGCCACAAGTGCTCGGCTTTGACGCCCGTGACGCCGGCGGAGGCAGAGGTGTGGGTAGAAAGCTTGTCCCGCTGGCTCTTTGTCCTCAGGTGACGGAGCTGCTGACGGACCCTGAGGCTGCCCGGTACTTTGTGAAGCTCCACATCATAGCCGGGCAGATGAGCACGGAGCAGATGAACAGCGCCAACACCTTCTACACCCTGACCGGGGCGTCCGGGGAGATCTTCAATCAGGACGAGGTAGGGACTTCCCGAGTTTATCTTCCAGGGACCCAAGCTGCACACTGAGCCGGTACTCATAGCCTTCTTGCTCTTTGCATCAGGCGTTTGTGGAAGTTTATGAAGAACTTCTCTCCTTATCTCGTCTTTGTAAAATGTCTTCCATGTTGAATGAAGCAGAAAACAGCACCAGGGCTGGAGAGTAGGGTGGATGGCTCCTAAAGGGGGTTCACGTGTTTGCTGTGAGTCCGGCCTGATTTAGTTTTCAAGGCCACCATCCCTAAGCCCAGTCTTTAGGTTGCTGGCATTGAGCCCTCTTTTCTGGCTTAACATTCTCTCTCTCCCACAGCCTGTAGTTCCAAGTGTTTTTAAATAAGCACAATAACATTCTGTGACTCTACTAAAGTGCAGAGCAACTGGTTAATCCACAAAATGTGCACTGCGGGCGAGGGCTTGGCTGTCACTCCTGTCCAGAGGAAGAGCACTGAACAAAGAAAAGTTCCAGCTTTTATACATTTGATCAAAGCAGGGGAGTTTGCAGGAAAAGGGCAAGGGCAGGCTGCTTTGTAATTTAGCCTTGTAAGAAGATAGAGTCTTACTATGAGTTACATGAGGGGCCAGGGATTTATCTTGTGGTGCCACCACCTGCCTCGCAAGGTCCTGAGCTCGATCCCCAGTAACAAAAAAAAAAAAAAAAAAAAAAAAAAAAAAAAAAAAAAAAAAAAAAAAAAAAAAAAAAAAAAAAAAAAAAAAAAAAAAAAAAAAAAAAAAAAAAAAAAAAAAAAAAAAAAAAAAAAAAAAAAAAAAAAAAAAAAAAAAAAAAAAAAAAAAAAAAAAAAAAAAAAAAAAAAAAAAAAAAAAAAAAAAAAAAAAAAAAAAAAAAAAAAAAAAAAAAAAAAAAAAAAAAAAAAAAAAAAAAAAAAAAAAAAAAAAAAAAAAAAAAAAAAAAAAAAAAAAAAAAAAAAAAAAAAAAAAAAAAAAAAAAAAAAAAAAAAAAAAAAAAAAAAAAAAAAAAAAAAAAAAAAAAAAAAAAAAAAAAAAAAAAAAAAAAAAAAAAAAAAAAAAAAAAAAAAAAAAAAAAAAAAAAAAAAAAAACAATGAATCACATGAGAGCAGAGTGTCATAAACTTTGTTCACAGGACATAGTTGTTAATTTTATCAGAACAAGGAGGTACAGCTACAAGGGAAGGGGGTGGTCTGAGGGGTAGGGGGGCTGCCCAGGACTGGGAAGAGCTTGCTTATCTCCCAGTGTGGCTTCCATTGTGTTTTACCTAGCATCGACAGCTGATAGGCCACTGAGTGCCCTGCCTTGCTGAGCACAGGGTTGCATCTGTGTCTGGGTTATGGAAAACACAACAACCCCATGAGAAGGTCCTATTGTAACCCCCATTCTCCCTGGAGGAAAGTGGGGAGGCCACACAGTAAAGGCCAAAACTGGCATTCAGTGCGAGTCAGCCTGACTCCAAAGCCCACGGCAGTAACTGCTCTGCTGCATCGCAGGTGTGAGGGCAGGTGGGTGTGCAGGCGAATGGTGGAGAGATAATGGACTGATAATAGGTGGACAGATGGAGTGATGTATAGAAGACAGGTATGAAGACGTGGTTTCCTTTCTCATGAGGACCGACATACATTCACTCATTAATTCAAGAAATATTTACCAAGTCTAGAACTTGAAGGAGCCACGTGGGTGGAAAAAGCTTCCGTTACTCATCCAACAGCTCTGTGCCACGTGCCTGCTCTGTGCACCACACCAAGATAAGTGAGCCGTCTACAGGGAACTGAGTGCTTCAGGCTTGTGTAGTTTGCAGTCTGTGGGAGAAGGGCGTCATCAGACCTCATCCAAGTGTCACCGGCTGAGGTCATCAGTGATTGCAACGCTGTCTCATTCGACTGCATTGAACACTTTGGAGGAGAGCCAGGCAGACACCTTCATCTTCCTGTTGAACACAGGACTTACCCAAAACCTCATAACCAGTGGGTGGCAGGTCCCAGGGACTTCTAGTCCAGTGCTTGCTCCTCCCACAACTCCACATTAATTTTGTTTTATCTTTCTTTGGTATGTTAGGACCATCAAATAAAGCTTAAACTTCATAAAGGCAAAAAGAAGGTAAAAATCATAGAGCAGAATATCATGGCTTCCAACGGGCTCATACACATCCTGGACAGAGCCATGGACAAGATAGAACCCACCTTTAAGAGCAACAGAAAGGTGAGACATTTCAGGTAGCAGTGCCACCATCCCGAGCCATCTCCCTTTGTTCTGCGGAGATGCACATCCAGGAAGAAAGTGTTTGCAGCCCCGCAGATTGTCCTTCATTGCATTAGGAGGACCTCAGGCTAAGAGAAGCTGCAATGATTTACCCGTCTTCAACAGACTTCTGAGTATTTCTGCAGCGGGAAAGAAAGACTGTCTCGGGGGGGGCGGCGCTTGAATGTTTTTAAATCTCTTATGGCCACATCAGACAAACCAGCTCAGTGATCCACTGTCATGACATCTTAACCTTCATGCTTTATAGAGAACAGCATATGCTATAGAGAGAACTATCATGATAGAACCATTCTTTCAGACCTATAGGACGATGGCCACAGCTCCTCGGAATACGGAGCAGGTTTCAGCTACTGTTTAATTTACAACATACATTTGCTTAATGGATGGCAGTCAACCAGGTCCTTTTATATGAATCCACAACTACAGTCAGTGTTAGAATTTATACTCCTTTTCTTCATGTTAGGATCTTTATTTCCTGAACCACTTTCTTATATTTTTACTGATTCTTAAAGCAAAAATGTTTCTTTTCAGGAAAGCACAAAGTCGATGCTACAATTAAGACACGAGGAGTTCTACTCTTTGTTCCAGGTTTGTGCCTTTTGTGAACTTCTGGAAAATGTGTATATTGAGTCCTTTGTAAGATTAGCAGAGATGTCGACCATAAATACTTTCTGGAGAATTACTGCAAATATTTGTCTGAAACAGATCACAAGTACAAAGCCTCATTTCTCAAACACAGGTTACCGACTTGATGTATAACTTAGAGATGAGAGGCGCTGCTGGAATGTACACCATTTTTGTTCCAACTAATGAAGCAATAGGCAACATGAACTACAGTGATCCTTTTTACCATTTTTCTACAAAGGTATTGTATCCTGCTTACTCTGATGGTATTGGGTCAGCCTCATTGCCCCAGTCTGTGTCCTGTAGGCGTTCTCCAAACTGGGGTTAGCTAATAAGCAGCACAGGTACCACCACTTGCCTTCCCACAACCAAGGCAGACATCACTAATCAATCACAGTACCCTGGAACTATTCCTAGATGTGGCTTCAGTCTCCTCCATGGAGATCCCAATAACTCTGAAGGGTCAAGGAAATAAAATCTACATATAACCCCAGCAGTGGGTGCTTGATTTGATTTGTCCTGGCTCTTCCAGTACTTCACAGTACTAAAATCAATATTTTAAGTTCCCTGCTCTTCTAGAACCACCTCAAGAATGATAACCAAAGTAGGCCAGCCAGGGCCAGGCTCTAGACTAAACTTTCAAAGGAACAGTTGTTAATTCAAATGCTGCACCTTTTCCTTTATATTGCTCCCATCTCTCTCCGCTGTGGTCCTTTCCTTGTAGACCATAGGCCTTCAGCTATGTCGTGTTCTCCACTGGAAAGGAGATTGTTAGCTCTTTCACACTGGGGCAAAAATAACAGAAACTGCCTGAAAGGTTTCCTCTCCAGAAATAACAGCTCTGACCTAAAGAGAAGGACACTTAACTGTGGAATGTCGTTCACTAGCTTGACAAATGGTAAAATTATATGAAAGCTATAAACTTCCTCCTCTGTCCTGAAGTCAGGTCGCCATCTTGGTGATAAGGCAGGACCTCCTACGGCGCCATCAAGAGGATGTTCACTATACAGAATGCCACAAGGGCAACCGTCCAGGTCTCCTTCCATAACGATTCCCAACCTTCGGTGAGGTTAGAAATCACCTAGGGAGCCTATCAGATGAGCAGGCTCCAGAGCCTCAGCCCAAATATTCTGGTTAGTGAGGCCCCAAAAATTAGACCTACTGCGAAAACACCCATTTTCTCACCCAGAGAGGCCCAGCCTTGCTGTTTGAACTCCTAAAACTTGTTTCCTTTTTTTTTTTTGGTTTCAAGGTTCACATGGATATGGCCTCTTCTAGAATCTTTCTCAATAACTACAGAACCTTTTGCTTTCAGAAAACACGGCTAAAATAAAGCATTTTAACTGGAATAGAACAGAATAAATGAATGGGTGTTTTTCTGTCAGGCACCACTGTTCAGAATGCTGTGCCTGTTCTGCTTTTTGTCTCTCCCGTCGTGGTGCCTGGAGCTGGCTCCTCCAGGCTCTCAGGAGTGGCTTGTGTGTTCCTCTCTCCAGCTCCTTCAGTCAGGCCCAGTGGAAATGTTTACACCACGGAAATCGGCTCCCACACACCACTGCTCCTGGCTCTCAGTCTGGTTTTTCTCAAAGGCAGTGCCTTTTAGCCTGCAAAGATGTGAAGCTTCATGTCTCTGTCCTGAGTTTTCCATTTGTTTGTAGGTCAGGATTAGAATGACCATTTCTGGCCGAGAGCCTATGGGGGTTAAGCTTTCTAAAACTATTGGAGGCTCCTTCTGTCTCCATCCTCCTAATCGCACCCTTTAGCTGCAGGTCAAGGACGGGCCTCGGCTAGAGACAGCAAAGTCCCATCAGCTGTGCCAGTGAAATGGAGATAAACCGGCTTCCCAGCAGAAGGGTTTCTAATTCTGAGTTTGCAGTGTCACGTTCGCCTAACTGTGCACCTCTCCCCCTGATGCACGGTTTCCGTTTGGAAACCATCTGGTCCCTGCTGTCCCTGCAGCTGACCACAAGCCCCGGCTGATGACCTTCACTGCTGAGCTAGACGGAAATAAAAGCAGGGGGAGGGGAGCAGGAGGCTCCCCTTGAGAAAATCGCAGATTCCTCACAAGGAAAATGGGGCCAAGGGCGGTGACTGTACGAAGGCTCAAGGTCATACTAGCAACTTGGAACTTGGAGTCTGTTTGTTTGTTTGTTTGTTTCTTTTCACCTAGAACTCCAGGAGGAAGCAAGTGCCATAAGGGAGAGAAGGCAGGACACCCTGGGCTCTGGGCCAACAGCCCCTGGATGCCTGTACTGTCCTTTGAGCTAGACAGAGCTGGTGGCCCCAAGCCAGATAAGGCTCCATGCATGCAGGGAAAAATTGTTTTGCAGGGAAAAATTGAGACTGGGAGGGTTGAGTGACTTGCTCAGAAGCAGAGCTGGGATTCGAACTCAGGTTTTTGAGATCAGGCTCATTGATTTTCCCAGAATACCTCCCCTTTGTAATTTTTTGGCCCGAAATTTATGAAGAGCCTACTGTGTGCCCTGGGCTGTGCTGGTGGGGATGAGGTGGTAATGAACCCAGCAGACCCCACCTCTGCTTTCCTGGAGTTTGCTGTCCAGTCCGGCTCACTCTTCTCAGCACGCCAGCTGTAATAGCTCTGCTCCTGCCTGTGGCCCGCACTCCTGTGTGCCGAGGAGCCGCTGGAAGGAGAGGCGTCACCTGCAGTGCTGGCCCCTGGTGTCAAGCCCAGCCTGCCTGACAGCTGCCCTGCCCTGTGTACCGTGCTAGAGCCCCAGCCGTGTGCCTGCCGTCTTGTTCGTCCTGCACACCAGGATGCTTCGTGGGGAATAGGCCAGAACAGTAGGCGTAAGCCAAGGCTGCACCAGACCAGCCAGGCTGCACTCACAGGAAAGTCCCCAGCTCGGACCAAGGCAGACGCAGAGGGGAGGGAGGGGACCCAGCTTCAACAGGCTTTCAGTTAGCCCAGATCCCTGTATCTGTGCCCTGTCAATGTCCTGGAAGTTCCTGGGATCTTGGTTTGTTCACCTTCCCAAGCCAGAGCCACTGGGCTGTGCGAATAGCAGAATTTGGGGGCCAGGAAGCCTGGGCCTCAGCAAGGCGCATGCGGGCATCCGCAGGAGGTCACGGCAGCCACTGCCTTGGTCCCAGAGCGTGGCCCCTGCTCCTGACTCTGTGGCTTCCCGCCAGGGTGCCCCACAGGGACTGTGCACCCTGCCTATGGGTCCCTCCGTGGGCTCTAGGGCCTTCTTTTTTCTCCACAGCTGCTTCAGTTCTCTGTGGTGAGAAAAACTCAAAAATGAATTCTGTGCAAGAGAAAGGCAGTCACGATCCCCATGGCCACGAATTCCTAAGTGGCCACTCTGCAGCCCAGTGGAGTGAGTGACAGAGGACCGGAAAGGGAGGGCCGTCCGGAAAGAGTGCGACCCAGAGGCCATGCGAGGTGTCAGACTCTGCTTCAGGCTCTTCGCCTGAGTTAGCTCTGTGACCTGGGTCTGTCCTTGAAAGTCGTGTCATTTCTCATAAAATAAGTTGGCAGTGGCCCCTGCCTCACACGCAGGGCTGTGGGGAGAATTACAGGAAATGTGCGTGCTATGCTCCCGGCCCAGGGCACATTCGGCAACCGTGAGCTGTGTGGGGCAGGGGTGATTTTTCTCACCCTGGGCTTCCCAGCAAAGATGCTGTGAGCCATTTATCTTTGTGGTTAAGCGTTCAAAGTCACTCAAGGGCTAAGGGAGGAAGTCAGTGTTTTCTTTGTTGCCTAAAGTCTTTCGGTTTCTTTGCAGAGCATCTGGACGATTCAGGAAGTCCTCAAATATCACATTGTCCCATTGACCCAGGTAAACCCTTTGCCCACCACTGCTTCCCTTGCTTCCGAGATAACTGGCCCTGGTCTGGAATCCCAGGGACTGAGGGTGGCGCATGTGGGACGTTTGTTCTCTATCAGCGGCTCTGAGCGAGCCCTCAGATGGAACAGTGAATCTGTTATCAAAGAAATCCTCCCAGCCACGGCATGCAAAGCTCCCATGACGTATCTCGTAAACTTAGCGGATTTTCTTGCAGTAAGGACTAAAACATCAGGGCTGTCTGTGCTGCTCCAATGTCTCCATTGTACCCCTGTCATCACAGCTGGAAGTGGCCACCCTCGTCTCTATGCAGCAGGTCATGACCATGGCCAACGAGGTCATAGAGTTCAACATCACCAGCAATGTGAGTGAGGTTGAGGTCATGGGGTCGCGGGGTCGCGGGGTCGCTGGGTCACAGGCTCGCTGGGTCGAGGTTCTGTGTGTGCTCTGGTGCCTCTGCCCTTTCGAAGCAGCTTTCCCACCTTTTCACTTGTCACTCAGTGCTGTCGGCAAATGTCACTCAGCAGCTGCAAGCTGCTGTCCGCACCAGATGTCAGGGGTAAGCAGCAAAAAAGGCAGACTTGTATCCCAGCAGCAAAGACAGACTTTAACGAACTCACTATGGGGTCAGCAAATACACAATTACAGTTCAATGAGCAGCAGCTCCAGGAAGCTCAGGGAACTGTGAGCCAGACAGCAGGAGTCTGAGAACAGCTGCAGTCAGAGACCCTGGGAAGGTGGTGTCACTCTCACCGTGCTTGGAGGATGAGTAGAGAGAACTTGGCAGAGAAGAACAGAACAGAGCCCCTGGTAGAAGAGAGAGCATGTGCAAAGGCCCTGAGTAGAGGGGAGATGACTCAATTACAAAACCCAAAGAACACAGTGTTACTCAGCTAACGCTCCGGGTGGTAACATCCAGTATCATAGAGACATTGTCTCCTCTTAACTCAATACTGATGGTCACAGTGATGATCTCCTCTCCACAAGTATCTCCTGAGTGCTGTGTGCCAGGCGCTGTTCTAGGTCCTGATGACTGATCAGTGAACAGACCAGCCAAAACCCCTGGCTGCGTGGAACTTCACTCTAACAAATACGGACGGAGCTAGAGAGTAAAGAAGTGAAATAAGGAAAACACATCACAGTCAGAGGGAAGTAAGGAGAAAAGCAGCAAAGCAGGCAGGGTTAGAAAGCGGGGATGGGACTGACACTCTAGATAAAGTGCCAAGAAATCTTCACGAGGAAGAAAACATCTGAGGTGGGACTGGAAGGATGGGGGGCGGTGGTGTGACGGTCCCGGGACAGAGGAGAGTACGGGCACGGGGCGGGGGTCGTGCACGAGCTTCCCGAGGAACCGCATCGGGTGTGGGCTGAACCGGGCCGAGCGACAGGAGGGGAGGGGAGGGCAGCGCGGGGAGGAGCGGGCAGCGGGGAGCTCAGCTCACAAGCGTGGCCTCGGAAGTCAGAGCAAGGACACCGCTCTAACTCCAAGTGCCGTGAGTGGCCGTGGGAGGGTTGTAGGCGGAGGGACGATGGGAGACACTTGCACGCCGGGAGATGACTAGAGGTCTGACCGCAGCAGTCCAGAAAGGGGGGACAATGACTCAGGCCAGAGCAGTGCAAGGCCACGGCGATAGGACTGTGAGCGTGTTTCAAAAGCAGACTTCCGTACCACAAGGGGTGCAATGACTTTCCAGCAACTGCACCTCAGGGCTGGAACGTTTTCACCTCCTTCCCGGCCCAGGACCTGCAAGGCCCCTTGTGCCAGCCAGGACGTCCCTGCCCGGCATCCTCAGGAGCTCGCCTCCCAGACTCGGCTGGTGGCAGGCGCCCTGCGGGCAGCTAGTCCAGTCCACACGCTGGGCCTTTCAGGGACGTCTCTCCTCTCACAGCTGCACGGGTCTCGCCCCTCCCGTAGCCCAGAGGTAAAGGTGTCACTTCTTCCTCCCAGGGACAGATTCTGGTAAACGGTGTGGCCGTGGAAGACACTGAGATCACTACCAAGACTGGGCTCATTTACACGCTGACGGGAGGTCTCGTACCTCCCTCCTTCCTCCGGTACCTGAGCGGAAACAAGCCCGGAGACGTGCGCAACCGCTGCAATGGCATCAGGCGTGAAATGAGGCTGGTAAGAAGCGAGCAGAATGTACAGATGGGGCCCCAGAGGGCCACTCGCTCCGGCCAGGTCGAGTCCCGTTCCTCCCAGACCTGAGAGCTGGCGTGGAGCGTGGAGACCACCCTGACTCATCCTCACCTCACTATTGTACCTGCAAAGACCCACCTTCCAAGCAAGGGTGCAACCTGAGGCTTCAGGGCGCAGACTGTTAGAAAGATGCCATCAAACCCCGGCACGGGAGCCGGATGAGAGATTTCCCCATGGGACTTAGGATCGGTCCCTTACCTCTCCCTGGCCCAGCCTGCTCCAGGCCCGTAGCTCTGCTTGTCGTAAGAAAGACTTAAAATCAAACAGCTTCATAGGTAGAAATATTGCTCCACTAAACCATCCATTTCTCCGTAGTCCTTTTCCAACACCGGACTTCCTGTTTCCCTGTGAGATTCTGTGCCCTCTGATGGCCTTTTCTGTTCCCACAGCAACTTTGTGGGGCTCTGGCAATTTTCATCAAAGCACCCTAAATTCCAAAAGTATTCTGCGTGCCATCTTTAAGTTTCCTTGGGAACCACAACCCTAAAATTGTGACCATCATAGAGATTGTTCTCAGGATATCTTTGGAGCGTGAGCTCTAGATATGAGGGGAAATGGCCTGGTTTTATTTCATCTTGGTGAAGACTAGAAATAGCTAGCTAAGCACCAGCCCAAGACTGCGGTGGACTTTCTGACTTACAAGTTCTTAATTGATGTAGTGATTCTGCTATATTTTAGGCTGTTGAGCATAATTTGGGTCCATCAAATGCCATTTGGGGAGTTTTGTCTCATTTCGACTGCTCCTTTTTTAAGAGATCTAGAAATAGGGTCACTTTCCTCACCGCCCCCAGCAGTGATGTATGTTGGGTTCATTCTTTAGAAATGCGCCGGTAGAGACACCTCCCAGCAAAGAGGGGAAGCAGCTGGGACCTTCTAGAAGCTTCTGTTAGAGCAGGGTGAAGCTCAGAACAGGCTGGAGAAAATGGTCAGGGTTTCAACATGTCCCTCAGAGCAGCCTCACCCCAGGCAGCTGCCATTCAGGTCCCTGAAGAAAGTCCGTGGAAGGACACAGAAGCCCCAGCACCTGCCTGGTCGCAGGCTTGTTCCATTTCAGATAGTTCAAAGCTTTTGCTCATTTCCCCGAAGGACAAAATCAATGTGTAGTTTTGATCTGAAACCCCCCACGTTGTGGTTAGGTAGAAAAAAGAACTGCCCAGAGGTACCTCAGAATAGAGTCTTCCTCTGCTATTTATTATTCTGTCTAGGTTTAAAGTGAAATCTATCTGTTCAGCCTAGTTTAGGATGGCTTTGGTTGGATCAAAGTCCACAGTTTCTCTGGAAAGTATGTGTTTAGGACCAGCACAGAGTGAGAGCAGTCGAAACCTTCTAGAAGCTTCTACCTGTCAACTGGCCGAACTCATAGCTGCCTCTGGACGTGTATGTGGGGCTGCAGCGGTTTAATAACTAACACTACTAGGCAGGGAGAAGCAGTAGCTGGTGACCCTGAGCACCCAGAACCAAAGACCCCAAGAAACATGTAGAGTTGCCTGAGGTCAGTGAAGGGAGGAGATGGTGTCTGTCAGGAGTTCTAGGGACTGTGCCTAGGCAGAGGAAACCAGGAAGAGATGCCTGACCTTGCTGTCCAACTTCCGATATCCTGCTGTGACTCACATTAGCCACAGCCAGTTGGAGGCTGACAAGAAGGATGAGAGACCATGTTTGTGGCCTACTAGCTGGGGCCCAGCACAGGAGAGAAGGTCGGAGGCAGCTCTGGAGACAAGTGGAGGCACAAGCTGGATTCACTTCCCCCTGGGTCCGAAGCTGTGGAGGAGACTGTAGCAGTCTGCTGGGCCTCATTCCTGCAGAGCTGACGGAGAGCACGGTGACCCGTGTGAGCGCTGTGTCCCTGACGCTGGTGACAGCTGCATCCCTCAGGGGCAGTGCCCTCCTGGCCAGTGGACAGCAGCTCTGTCTGGAAAGAGGAGAGGAGAGAGGGGTCGTCCTGAGCAGATCCCGCCCTGTGCGAGCCCAGCCCTGCCCTGCACTGAGGCCCGGGGTGGAAGGGTGACAGGGAGCCCTCTTCACAGGAGGGAAGTGGGCCTGGGCCACCCCGTGTCCTCCACATGGGACCTCTGCGCTGACTGCTGTCTTTCCCTGCAGGGCTCGTGCGTGAGCTGCTTGGCGATGTTTACTAGTAAATGTCCTGCTGACTCCGAACCCACAGTGAGTGTGACCAAGCTGGTCCTGTACCCCATACCACCCCAGTGACCTCACGGGTGTCATCTGCCCTCCCTCCCTCCTTTCTTCCTCCCATAAAAGATACCAATGCAGCTGAGGCTGTAGGAGACGAGCACTTAGCTGATAGGAGGGCCAAGTGGCTTCACCTTTTTACTCTAATTTGCTTCATCTGTAAGTAATAATAACAGCAGCATAAATAAAACTCAAGCACAATACCAAAATCAAATAGCCCTTCCAGTGAAGGGTCCTCTCTCCTCCTCCCTCTTAAATAAGATCTACCATTTGTGCTTGGTCTTTCCGAGCATCATTCTGGAGAAAAATGACTTGTCAGGGGGCTTACAGGGTTTCAGTTAGGAGGAGTGAGTTGTGATCTCATGAGTCTCGGGCAGCCTGGTGATTCTGGTTAGTGAGCCAGGCTTCAGATCTGCAAAGAGCAGTGAAGTTTAAATGTTGTCCCCACAAGGAAATGTTAAGCGGGAGGCGGATAATTGTATGAATTAGCCTGACTGAATCATTTCACCACATGTACACACATCGTAACATGGCTCTGTGCCCTATAACTACATGTAATTATCATTTGTCAATCAGAAGTAAGAAAAAGAAGTATCAGGGAAATGACGCTCAGGCTATCAGAAGCTTTTCAAGGTTGAATCTGCACGCATTTCTTAGCAATTTATCATATATTGGACATTGTGCTTGGTTCCGGGGGCACAAAGATGGACTCAGAGAGGCATTTTGGTTTGGTACTGTCTGGAGAAATTCAACCTGAAGAGAAAAAGAGTTGCAGAACAACCTGTGCTTCCTGTGCTAAACACTCCATTGATGACAAAAGCACCGTGTTCTCAGTCACAGAAAAAAAAATGATGACAATAGAAATTTCTGCTTATAAGTTCATTATAAGAAAGAATTTCCCACCAGTCATGGTGGTGTTCATCCATAATCCTAGCACTCCGGGAGACAGAAGCAGGAGGGTCCCGAGTTCAAGCACACCCAAGGAAATTTAGTAACTTAATGAGACCTTGCCTCAAAAACAATAAATAAATAAAAAGGGAGGTAAGGCTGTAGTGCGAAGGCCCTGGGTTCAATCCCCAGTACCACAAGAGAAGGAGAGAGACAGAGAGACAGAGAGAGGAAAAAGGAAGACAAGAAGAGGAGGAGGAAGAGGGGAGAGGAGTTGCTCCCTCCTCAAGGACTTCATAATCCCTTGATGGATGTAAGATCTTGGGATTATAGTCCCTGAGAACTTCTCAGTGCTTACTTCTGAAGCAAGAGCCTAAGAGGAAGGAGTAAACGTGACATAAACATTTATCTAAATTTGAGACCGGAACGAAATTCCTAGGATAAAACTGGATGTTGTCACCATGGTTCCATTTCACCGCTTAGGAAACTGAGACAGAGGCACATGCTTTGCCTGTGATCTTAAAGTTAGCCCGTTTTACACACCCATGTCTCCAACCTGATGCTTGCTAGCAGTGTTTCTTAGGGGGGAAATGATTTAGCCTGTGCAAAGCTATGTGCCACATTGATGCCCAGCTTTGGACGGTTAATGTTAACTGTTCAGATTCTAAAACTGACTCCCTGCTCCCCTTGCAACCTGCACAGCTGATGCAACTCTTCAATGAACTTACGCATGCCCTTACCTTAAAGGCCATGAATTTGTGATATGGCTTAGGTGCCCATGCATAGACTTCCACAGAACTCTTCAAAGCAATCACCAGAAACTTGATTCTTTCGTATTTTACTGAAGGGTGTGAGAAAAAAAAATATATATATATATGAGAAGCTGAGATGTAGCTCAATGACAGAGCATTTGCCTAGCATGGGGAGGCCCTGGGTTTGATTCCCAGCACCACAAAAATAAATAAATACACAAACAGCATGAAAACTTCCACTTGGACCTGAAGACTGATGAACTTATTTAAGCACTGTGCCCCGCCTACAGTGAGTTTTCAATAAGGAGAAGTACAAGGTAACTCTACACCAAGGGTTCAGGAGTCGAAGGGTGTGTTTAAAGCTAACCCCACTCCTGGAAGAAAATCTCCAGCTCTCGCTGTTTTGCTCGGTGGATCTTCCCACAGTGCAGACAGACTCTGTGCCACTCCGAGATGTCTGGAAAAGGAGGCTGGCATGTATCCAGATGACCCAGAGAGCGCCCCTGGTCATTCTGAGACGGCCTCTGTGACACACACACCATGGACAGTGCAAACTCGGCCCTGTGTTCTGCCAGCAAGGACACCAGCCTGCCAAGATGGACCAGTGCCCCCTGGGGCCCTGACCTCTGTGCACCGTGGAAGGGAGGGCTGGGCACTGCCCAGGGATGCAGACCACAGGCCCTCACGCTCTGGCTCCCTTCCAGGCTCTCTTCACACACAAGTGCGTCTACAGAAGCAGAAGCAATGCCCTGAAGAGCGGCTGTGCCCGGTACTGCAACGCCACCGTGACGGTGAGGAGTGTGTGGCCAGGCCGCCCACAGGCCCTGGGGTCTGCATGGTCTCAGATGGCCCACAGGGCTTGGCAACTCTCCTGCATGAGGACCGCAGGGTGGGTTCTCTTCGCAGCCGCTGGGTCACCCCCTCCCTGTGCCCTGGGTCCCCTCTTGTTCCTCACAGAGTCCCCTCGTGGCCTTCATTGGGACCCATCAACCCATCTCTTGCCCTGGCTCAGGGGAAGCACAGATACGGGCCCTCCCGGAATGCCCTTCTGAGCTCCCAGGGTCTCTGCAGCTCTCAGGAACCCTCTGCCAGCACCTCCTCCAGACCCGGTCTGCAGTGGCCTCCCCAGCACCCCGGCTTCTTCTCTGCTGCCTGTTTTTCCCTAGTGCTCACTGCCCTCTGGAAGAACTCTTTTTACTTAATTACTTCTGTTCACTTTCGTATGGTCTCCCTGACTAGCACATGGGCTCGGCCCCTCCTGCACAGGTGCCAACGCCAGGTGGGCACCCAGGGAAGGTGCTCGTAGACCAGTGGCTGAGCACTAGCTGTGCCATCACATGCACAAGGAAAAAGCTCCCCCAGGAGGGGCTGGGGTTGTTTATTACAATGATGGAAATGAAAGTGTCTCTTAGAGGGCCGGGTGCTCCACTTGGGGACTCACAGGGCAGTGAGCAGTGCCATTTCTCAGGTCCCACAGTGCTGCAGAGGCTTCTACGGGCCCAACTGCACCAGGTGTTCAGAAGACCTAACTCCATGCTCAGGAAATGGACAGGTGAGAGGATTGTCACTTGTGTGAGAAGGCACAGTTTCCTGAGTGCTCAAGGTTGACCCTCTGAGCTCACATGGCACAATTATTTTTAGCCAGGAATGGTGGTGAACATCCGTGATCCCAGCACTCGGGAGGCTGAGGCAGGAAGATGGCCACAAGTTCAAGGCCAGCCTGGGCTACATAGCCAGACCCTGTCTCAAAAAAAAAAAAAAAAAAAACAAAAAGCATCCAATAATTTTTTAAATTGCCAGACCCCAAAATGACAGGATGGTGGCCACTATGGCCAGGAAGTGAAGGAAGCAGATCAGCTGCTACGAGTATGGCAGTGACCGAGTTGGGAGGGATCTTATAGGTCCCCTCGGGCTCTCCTGTCGCCCACCACGGGACCTTGGGCAGTTCAACAGGCCCTCTGCACCCCACATCCCACCCGAAGATGGTATCGGGGCCTCAACTTCTGTGCCACTTGGTAACGCTGCCCGTCTGCCAGACCTAGCGAGATGTAAAGCCCGAGATCACCTCGTCTAACTTGGAGGCCAGAGGCAAACCATGAAAGTCAAAGCAGCCATGAGCATGGCATAGACCCGTATCTAAAACATGGCTCTTGTGAGGGGGAAGCAAAACTGCCAACAAGAGTGTGGCGCTTGCATTGGCGATACAGACAGGAAGAGGCCAGTACCAGTGGCTGTGGCTGAGTAATCGGGAAGGCAGCCCATGCCCGACTCTGACGCAGGGAATAAGTGCAAACCTGGCTTTTCAGGGCTGGGCAGATGGGAAGCAAACTATGTTTCCCCCTGGAGAGAAGGGGAAACGCAGTGTGGAGTCCCAGAGCTGAACAAGTGAGCGCACAGAGGCAGGGGCCAGGCGCTCCTCTGCCGGCCGGGAACGGTGTGTGAACGTTTCCAGTTCACAGTCATGGTCGCCCTGGAGTGGCGTCTCTTAAAGTTCTAAATCCTGAGTCAGGACACCCACACTCATCCCCAGACCACCGCACTTCCCATAAGGGGTCCCCAAGATGATTCCAAGTGGGACTGAGTCTGTGTCCGAAGTCAGGCATGAAACCTAAGTGTATGGGGCTCCTCCGGCCTCTGTCCTTTATCGTGGCGGCCCACGGGGCCGGCCTCTCTCCCAGTGTGCAGACGGCATCCATGGCAACGGGACGTGCATTTGCAAGGACGGCTTCTATGGCTCTCAGTGTCAGTTCTGCTCTGACCGCAATAAATACGGATTTAAGTGTGAGAAAAGTAAGTGGCGCTTCCGGGATCTCTCCTGCATGGAACAGGGTGCTGGGGCGGGCCTGGTATCTTGTGACTGTGCTTGTCCTGTGTCATCATCCCAGCCTGTCTCTCCAGTGCCGGACCGTGGGGTCCCACCTGTGGTTTCTGGCACAATAGGCCTGCAGTGGCCCGAGAATTTGCATTTCTGACAAGTTCCCCGCTGGCCCAGGGAATCACTTTGAAAACCACTGCTTTGAGTTTTCTCCTCATCTCCATCAACACCGACTTGCTCCCTGCCTTTTAAGCGCCTCATCACCAATCTCCCTAGGCCTCTGTGGAAATAAGGCGTTAAGACTGGGACCAGAGGAGATTTCTGGGGCACAGAACAGGCATTTTCTCCAAAGCCGACAACCTTGGTGTTGTCTGATCCCCTGGAAGAGGCTGGGCCTGGGGTCTGGGCTTCCGGCTCCCGTGCTCCCCTCCCAGCTCTGTGCCCGCCTGTGATTTCACACGGAGATCTTGTTCCTTGCCAGTTAAGCTGCCTTACTGAAAACTCGATAGAAGTTATTTTTTGTTTAAATCCAGTTGTGATCTTTCGGCCGCCCTCACTTGTGTCTGTCTTCTCCGTCCTGGACATTGGCCCTGAGTTTGCACCCTAATTCCTGTCCCATTCATTCCTCCAGGGCCACAGCTGCACTGTCCTTCATTACGATCCCACCCTACCACCTTCCTCTGAGTGTCGCGTACCCCTCCTCTCACCCCCACAGGCACATTCGTAGGTGCCTGACTCTGGTGACCTGTGCACATCCAGTGTTTAGACACCTGTGCTCAGAGGCAAAGCAAGCAATTCCGGTTTACGCTGGTAATGGGGACACGGAGATGCCAGTGGACAGAACGATTCACCGTGTTTACACGCACTAGTAGAAATGGACTTTGAGGGCTCTGGTTCAAGTCCCTGCTTGGGAACTTAATGGCAAGTCAGGTGACTAAGCTCAGTTTCTGTGTCTGGAAAATGTGGGTGTAAAGTACCAGCAGATGGGAAGCAGGGTGAAGGGAGCAGAGGGTAATGGGCACAAAAGAGGAAGCAAGATATATCAGGTACCAGCTCCCCAGGCCTGGTGACCTTCTAGGCAGAGGACGTGGCCGCTCCAGACGTCAGGGCCCAAATGTCGGCCACTTGATGTCATCGGTAGCCATAGCAGAGGGTGAAGGAGAAACATACACTCTCCTCAGGGGCTCTGCCCGTGTGAGAAATCGCTTCTGTTTATGCTCAGACGTCTTCAGGAGAAAGTGAGAAATTGCCTGGCTAAACTCCGTGACCACCAAGTAATTGAAAATTGAGTTCTTTAACCTCTTTCATCACATGAAAGCCACCTCCCCACCCCACACCCCACACACATATATATAAGGTTAGCTCAGCACATGGGACTTGTGTTTACATTTTTCAAACTTTATTACAGTAAAAAAAACACTGCAGGAATCCCCCTCAAAATCCTCCTCCTCACTTTGAACACACCTGCCCCACCGTCCTTGCCCCTTTCTGAAGCACTTCCAAAGTCCTCTAGTCCTCTTTTGTGAGTGTCTTGATGAGGTGTGGCGACTGCTTCTGCTGAATGCAGGCTGCTACGAACATCACGGCGTGCCCTCCCCCGACCCTGTTCCCCGGATCTGGCATCCTGTGACTTCCGGCTCCTCCCCTGAGTCAAAATGGCCGCGAAAGGGAAGTGTGAATCGATTCGGGACATTGAGGCAGCCAGGACAGCACAGCTAAAAGCACTCACAAAGCAGGACTTCTAGTGCTGCTTCAGTAAAGGACAAGAATGATGAGATGAGTGTGTTCAAAGTGAGGAGGGAGATTGGGAGGGGAATTCATGCCAGTGTGCATTTTACTGGAATAATTTTTATCGAGGCATCTGGCATACTTGTCAAGCACCCCTCGTGTGAAATCCATGGACCGCTTCTCCCCTGGGGTGAGGCCACCACCTCTCCCAGGGCTGCCCCAGGGCTGTCCCAGCCCTCTGAGAGGAGGCAACAGCCTGAGACTCCCGCAGGTTATGCCCAGGCTCAGCCTGGACAGGTGCAGGAAGGGTTTCCGCCCTCCCAGATGCTGGCCGTAGCCCTCAGCATCCCTCTTCCTTCTCCCTCAGAATGCCTGTGTGTCCTGGGGACCTGCGACAACAGGATAGCAAGCAGCGGAGCATGCCTGCCTGATACCTGCCAGAAAGGCTCGAGTGGGACTTACTGTGACAGGGGGCGCACTCGGTGTAACTACTTTACTCCTGAATGTCACGTCCACGCCACCTGCCAAGTCATCGATCAAATGCGCAGGTAGGTCTCTGGAGGTGAGGCCACTGTCTCATGCTACCTGGGGATGGAGCTAGCAGGACTCTAGCGCTGGAATCAAGTGGCAGCACTCCCTACTTTGAAACTTTCCAGCTGCACACCCTTGGGCAAGTCACTTGACCGATCTGAGCTTCACTTTGCTCATTAGTACTGACCATACCCACCTAACAGGGTCATCACAGGAGCAGGGGTGTGAAAAGAACTGAGTTTAAAAGCATCAGCACGGGAGCTAATGTGTCATTCGTGTCCCACCGGGGAATACTTAATTATTTCCGTCACAAAATGAAGATCTGCCTCCAGCTTTCCTACATTTCAGGCACCTTTGCTTGCTCAGTCTCCTTTAGTAAAGGCCTTGGTGTGAAATTGAGTCTTTCGCGGACAAACTGCCATTCACTTCCTTGGTGCTGTGCTGTCTACTCGCTGTTGTGGGGTTGGGGGTGGGAATGCTGTGGGAAACGCTCTGGTCTGGGAAGATCTGGTTCAAAGGTGGCAGCTGGGCAAACCCTCCTGGGCAGACAGTGGCTGTGGAGCTCTCTGCCCGGTGCCTACACCTCTTTTCTGCAGTTCCTTGTTTGGGTCTCTCCCCACCGTGACGGAACGCAGGCTACCGGGGGCCAGAGATGGCATTTCCTTTTCCACAGTTTATGGGACAGAGTTTCCATCTTCTTAAAGAACCAGGGTCCACCTCCGTGCATCAGGTGGAAACACTGTGGTCGCACTTACCCTGGGTGCCTCTGAGTCCTCCTGCGTGCAGTGTGTGCGGGAGGCAGGGCAGGGACCCAGCACACCGGGCCGTTCCTCCAGGGGCCTTGACACAGGATAGACGCTATTGATCAATGAATGGCCTGAATTTAACAGCAAAGATGTTGATTGCCATGGAACGTACCGAGAGGGTGTCAGGAAGGGCCGTGAGTCAGACACCGGGTTGCCTCCAGAATGGGGCACCCGAGAAAGTTGTGCTTGGGCGAAAAATCTCTGAGGCACCAGCAAGGGACTCGGGCTTTTGCAGAGGGCTGGGGACAGCTCTGAAATAGCCCCTGAGAGCTGTCAGCCCCACCCAGGTGGAGAGGAGCTTGGGCCCATGGGGCTTTCCCAATACTATAAGAGCTGTCGCCTAAACAGAGCTATTCTCTGCTGACCCAGAGGTAATAACTGGCCCTGAGCAGGAAGAGGTACAGAGAGGCAAGTTCCAGCCCTAAAGGAGCAGAGAAGCTGCCGGCCCTGAGGCGCGTGGTGTCCTAGGACTGCCCGCAGCCAGAGTGCGTTCACTTCTTTCATCCTCACTGTGGCCTCGGGCAGGAGGCATCAGACCCATTCTTTCTCCAGATGAGCAAACCAAGCCCCCGCGCAGGGTCACACAACTGTAAGAACAGGGGCCTGTCTGGCTGCAGACCCCAGCAGGATGTGACTCCCTCTGGATGCTGATCCCAGCCAGCCCGTCCTGGGTGGTGGGGCTGAGCCGTGTGCCCTGCTCCCTCCACAGATGCGTCTGCAATGATGGCTACGAAGGTGACGACTTCCTGTGCTCCGAGAAGGACCCTTGTACAGACCCACCCCGGGGAGGCTGCAGCCACAACGTGAGTGTCCGTCTTTACCTGCAGACTACGCAGTACTTTTTGGAAATCCTGAGGGGAGAAATTACCAAAGGCAGTGTCTGACCACCCTGCACACCGGCAGGTCTCTTGTGTTTGAACTTTGCTTTTAAAGTCACCTGCTGCGAGCCCCCACCCCAGATTTCCAGGCAGAATTAAGGGCTCTGGGCTCTTCCAAAAACACAGCCTGAAAGTATAGTGAGATCGAGGCTACTAACTCTTGATCGAGGCCTCACAGCTTCAGGGGGGTGTGCCTGATCACTGTGCTCCTCCCACCAGCTTCAGGGGGGTGTGCCTGATCACTGTGCTCCTCCCACCAGCACACTGAGGTGGGCGCTGCTCTCCCCATTGTACAGGTGGCTCTGGGCTCTGCTGCAGTCAGCGGTGCGGCCGAAGCCACACTGTACCCCTAATACTTGCCAATATCGCCACCACCCTGCCCCAGTCACCCGCATCCTCACCCAGATGTAACCACAGCTTTCATGGCTGCCCTGCTGCTGCCCGGCACACCCCATCCACCCACTGCCGGTGGCCGGCTCCCCCACCGCAGGCTGAAACTGCTTCTGTCCCTCCTGAGGTTCTGCGGTAGACCCCAGACACGGGGCCCAGTGCCGCCCACCCCAGTCAGGGCCACCCCAGCGCTTGTCACCTTCTTCCTCTCCTCCCAGCCTGTTTTCGGCCCCTGGGGAATTAGGATAGCACTTAGGAGCTCGGATGCCGGCGTCACAGAGGGAGAGCTGGGCCAGTGCCTCTGTGGCTGTGACTGACAACAGCCCCTTCCTTGACCTTTGAAGCAATCAGAATAGTCCCCGGCCTAGTCCACAGCACAGGGGTGTGAGCGGTAGCAGCCCACCCCACACAATCGCACCCTCAAAACCATCTAAGCCTTTCACTGACATTCTCACAAATAAGCCATCCCACCACACTCCAAGCACATGCAGATTTCGAGAATATGCCCTGGACCCCCTTAGACAGACAGGAGGCACTGGAATCACGGGGCCAGCCCGTGGGTTCAGAGCCCTGGCTCTTTCTCCTCTTCCTCCCGCAGGCCGAATGCATCAAAACCGGCCCAGGGTCACACACCTGCGTGTGCCACCAAGGCTGGACAGGCAGCGGCATGGACTGTGAGGCCATCAACCCCTGCCTGCTGCCCGGCAAGGGCAGCTGCCACAGCAACGCCACCTGTCTGTATATGGGCCCAGGCCAGGTAGGCTGCACAGGGCGGAAGGTGAAGAGGGAGCTGTGACTTTGCTCCCCAGCACAGACACACTAAATGGGGTTTGCCGCAGATCTTTCTGTCCCTTGTAGCAGTGAGAAGAGAGTTATCACAGCAGCAGGCCCATGACTTTGGTGTTAACATTATCCCATCCCATAGAAAGGGAAAGGGAGGCACTGAAGGACTAAGTAATTTGCTCACATCATATGGAAAATAAATTGTGCTGTGGGATTTGTATCCAGGAGTCTGACCCCAGAGCTGCTCCCCGAGTCACCTCTTGGACCCCGCTTTAGACTTCCGTAGCGATCTGTGGCTCGTGTCACTTTCGCATGCCCTCATTAGACAAGACCAGGACAGAGCGGGTGACTGCTACAAATACACTAGGACCAGACCCATGGGAAGAAGAGGGATCCCCCGGGTCCTTTCTGAGAAAAGGAAAAAGTGTCGTGGGCCTGTGTGTTTCCTAGGGCCACCACACCAAGGCCCCTCACACTGGGGGGCGGGGTACAATGAGAAGCATCGAATCACAGTCCCAGAGGCCAGAGGCCTGAGCAAGGCTGCGGGGGCTGAAGTTGTCTGTGCCCTGCAGACAGAAGAAGTCTGCACCCCGGCGCAGCACTGCACCTTCACAAGGAAAGGCCACATCAGGGGTGCGGAGATGCCACCACCCTCTGGGCCGTGTGTCACGGGCTGTCCACGAGAAGCTGTGCTCTCTCGATCCCCCTGACAAAGGGAGTCTTTTCTAAAGCGAGCTGGCAGCAGCCTCTGCGAGGCTCTCCACCAAGTGGACACCTGGGCTCACGCCATCCTCTCTCGTGGGCATGGGGACCGAGCTCCCCACGGTCAGGCCCAAGCTCTTCCCAGACTCTCTACAAGTGCTTCCTGGTTAAGAATCAAAAGGGAAGCACCAAGGACTGCTTGATAGGAAGACGTAAAGCAGGCCACTCAGACTGACGGCTCCACACAGAACAGACAAAAGACACAGTCACTGCCCCTGGGGTCTCAGAAGGAGGAGTCGGGGAAAACACTTGCTTTCAATGGTCCCTGTGCCTGTGTTCTTGCAATTACAGCACGAATGTGAGTGCCAGGAAGGATTTCGGGGAGATGGGACCGACTGCGAACCGATCATCTCATGCTTGGAACAACCTGGGAAATGTCACCCACTGGTGAGTTACTAAACAAACCAAAAAAGGCTCCAGGGAGAGAAAAGGTTGGGTTACTTCTTGTCTGAGCCTCGTAAAGAGCAGTAAGCAGAATGTGAGCGGTCAGAATCTTCACTCTGCTGCAAAACGTGAAGAGCCAGCGCTGGGCTGTCAGATGAAACCCAGGACGCTCTGTTAAACTTGAACTTCAGCTACACAAAGAATATTTTTAGACAGAAATATGCCCCAGATACTGCCCGAATGAGGCAAGCGTCCATGACACTTGTTCCTCATTTGATCTGAAACTCAGATTGAACTGGGCTTTTTGCATTTTTCATCAGCTGGCAGGGATGAAAAGATTTTGACTCAATAAAAGCGGCAGCACACACTGTGCCTGGGACCCCAGGGTCTGTGGCAGGGGTGGCAAACCTTTTAGAGTTGTCAGCCTCGACACACGGCTCGCTGCGGCCACGGGTTCGCCACCTCGGGTCTGTGGGTTCTTTCTTCCACTCTAGTCTGTAGTTCCCACCTCAGGTGGCGCTGGGTCTCACCTGTACAACTCCCACTGGGCAAACAAAGCACCCCCTTCATCTTGGTTTCATCAGGCAACCTGCCAAATCGTGGCCTCTGGCGTCTGGAGCTGTGTTTGCAGAGAGGGCTATGAGGGAGACGGCACCCTGTGCTACGGTGACGTGGCCACAGTAAGTCACCCGCGAGGACCTGGGGGCGGAATGGCGAAGACAAACCCCGGGCAGCACAAACCCCTGCAGCAGGAGAGTCATACCCGTCTTACAGGCGCCCTGCACACCCTGAGGCCTCTCTCATTCCTCAGGATGCAGGGAGCGACTTCCCCCCGGCACCTTCTGTATACCGAGTGGCCCGGCTTGTCCTCCTGTCTCTCTTCCAGTCTTGGGTTGCTGGCTTCCCCTGGCTGGGTCGGGGCCTCTGGGGGTGCGCAGAGCACCCTGGGTTTACCTCTATTGAGAGTGTGTGTGTGTGTGTGTGTGTGCACATACGTGTGCATATGCACATGGATATAAATGCCTGCTGGATCCCAGGCACCTTCCTGAGTCCCTTACCCCCACCAGCCTCTCATTTAAACGTTGTGTCTCAGTCATGTTCCTCTCTGCTGGGACACAGTGCTCAGCACCCACCACTTAAAAGGAGGAGCGGTTCTCCTTACAAGGAGACAGTGGCTCGCTTTTCAGCTCGTGGTCAGCTGGCACCTGGGCGGCACGGCAGCGGGGCCTGGCGGAGGGAGCTGCTCGTACCATGGCAGACAGCAAGCAGAGAGAGAAGCGAGTAGCTGGGAAGGAGATAAACACAGTGACCCCTCTTCTAGCCAGACCCCACCTCCTATAGCACGGCAGCTGGGAACCCCACAGTCCAACCGACTTTCAAGAGCCCCACCTTTGAGCACAGGAGGTTTGGGGGAACATCTACATAGAAACCGTAACACCCAGAAACCACCCTCTGGAGTGGATGCTGTTATGACACCCAGTTTACAGGTGGGGAAACGGGCCAAGAGTGCAGAGCCCAGTGCCTGCCCGGCTCAGAGCGTCCTGTCCATAGAGTGGGGGTCACATCAAACCGCCACTGCCCCAGGTTTGTCCATCTCCCCAGCACCGGACTCTAAACCCTGGGGAAAGTTCATCATCTCATTACCTGGGTCACTCCCGCTGCTTGGAGACATTTGTCCACTTCCAGCATGGTGGCACAGGTCTGTAATCCCAGCACTCAAGAGGCTGAGGCAGGAGGATCGCTGCAAGTTCGGGGCCACCTTGAACTACATAGTGAGACCCTGTCTCAAAACAAAAGAAATACGAAAGAGAGAGTTTTTGTCAAAATGGGCAACAAAGTAAGTTGACAAATTTGCCTGTCACTTACTTTTTGCTCCCCTCAAAGCAGCTGGTCTGACTCCAGTTCACACGGATGTTAGTCTAACTGCCCCAGAACTCTGCTCCTGCGCTGAGGCCCCGTCCCAAGGCCTCCCCTGCTCTCTGAGGCAGCCCACCCTCCGCCCTCTCTAACTCTTCCTTCGCTGCAGCGGACCCTGCACCACGCAGCTCGGCTCTCAGGCCCCTGTGTTTTCCACAGCCACACTTCCTGAGCCCTGGGCTCCTGCTGTCATGGCCGTCCTCTCCTCCCTGCAAACAAGCCCAGCCCGGGCATTGCCCCGGCGTCTTCGCATGGCGTCCAGGTCTCTTCCCGACAGCCTCCCCTCCCAGACGCACCGCTGGCTTCCTGCGGTCAGCTCAGGCCCAGTGTTGGGCCCGTACACCCGCAAACACCCCCTGGGAAAGAATTTCTCTAGCATCTCCGCTCTTCTGGTTTGTTTACTTTACCGATTAATTTTTTTGTTTCTTTGGTACTAAGGATCAGATCCAGGGTGTCCCACTAGCTACACTCCCACCCCTTTTTATTCTTTATTTTGAGACAAGACCTCACTAAATTGCTCAGTCTGGCCTCCAACTCATGACTTTCCTGCCTCTTTTTCCCACATAGCTGGGATTACAAGCGTGCACCATTATGCCTGGCTACGAATTTACTTTTTAACGGGTATTTACCAAATGGTTTAATAACCTCAACTACTTTTAAAAAAAGAATTGAAACTGCTCTGAGATTTGTTGCCTTTATAAAAATTTGTGTATAAGTGTTACAGCCACTTGGGCGATATGTAATAGGCATTTTTTACTGTTTTTATATATGTAAATGTACTCACTTGACATCCTCCCTGGAGGAAAACCTCATCGTAGTCAGTAATCGCATGAGACACTGGGCCTCAGAGAAGTTAAGTGACTTGCCCAAGATCACACAGCCAGGAAACAGGCGACCAAGAATTAACACTGTCTCTCTCACACAAAGTCTAGAGCATTTTAAAGCTTTATTATACCACCAGACAGAGCTGATTACCGCCAGTGTTGGAACCACCTCTCTCCAAGGCTTGAGCCTACTGCAGGTTATAGAAGAACAGCTTTCTCCCTGTCACACGTGCCCCTTCCCTCACTCCGCCCCACCTCTTGCAGTGGCAACTTCTTAGGCAGGTGCATTCATTAACAAGCCGGGAGTCCTGAGCTCCGTCCATTTCAAGTAAGCGGCTAACACTTCCTGCCGGCAGCCTCTCCTCAAACCACTTTACAAACATTAAGTCCCCAGTTTCTCACCAGGGCCATGAGCTGGAGCCCTCACCACCCCTTTAGCGAGCTGAATGGTTGCTTTGGAACCAAGATCCGTGTGGTCTGCTCCAAGCTCCAAGTCCCTGGCCCCTACGCAGAAAGGGAGTTTCTGGCTGACCCCCTCGTCCCGAGAGTGAGATTCGAGAGAACTTCAAGTTGTCGCTTCATGTGAAGTCTCTGGAATGCATGCTTTACCTCGATGAAGAGGGTCACAGCGCGCCCTAAGAGTGAGAGAAACGTGCAGCTCCAGAGGGAACCGGGCTCCCTGGGACACCGCACTCCCACGGGCGAGCCCGTCCAGCCTGGAGGGCGAGGATGACCTGCTCCTCACTGTCCTTTTCCCTCTTGTCTTTCTCCTCTCTCCTCCAAGGAGTTGTTATTCCTCCCCGGAGCAGCTGCCTTTAACCAGTGGATCAGTGTGAGTACCCCGCTGGGCGGAAGGTCCGGGCCCGGCAGACGCCCTCCGGCCTGGCTGCCCCCCCTTTCCTGGGCGCCCACTCCAGAGTTTGTCCCGGGCGTCGGGGAGCCTCGGAGCCCCCCAGAAGACGCCGATCTGCAGCCAGGACTGCACGCTTCAGGTGCAGGGCCTGGTAAGAAATGAACACGGTTCTGGATGAGATGCATCAGGGCTGGGGCTCCGTCTGCATCCTGGGGCGCTTGGAACGCGCCTGGCACCCTGCTACCCAGAAAAGGGCCTCAAACCCCCGGGAAATGTCGCCATCAAAAGCCCAAAGCCCGCCCGCCCCGCTGCAGGCTCTCCAGTCCTCTAGGAGCAGCCCGGGCAGAGGTTCGCCCCTTGCTTAGAGGAACCTTCGCGCGGGGCCTCCCCGTCGCTTCCACCAGGGCCCCTCGGAATCCCGCCCCTACAGGCAGGAGGGGGATCTGATTTCCGCCTGGGTCGTCCTAGGCGAGGCCTCCCCTTCCTTCCCCTTCCTTCCCCTTCCATGCTGCTCCCCATGCACTTTTAGTGGTTGCAGAGTGAAATCAGCAAAGGCTGCGAACACGCGCACACACAGCTCTACCAAGACTATTTCTCTGGCTCCTCATTTAGACTGACGTGTGAAGGACTTACAATGACTCACAGTGACCTATACAGGAAAATTTGCATTCTGACAAGGCTCACTTTTCTTTCATGATACTGGGATCAAACCCAGGGCCTTCACACTGAGCCACATCCACAGCCCTTTTATATTTTTAATTTTGAGTTGTGGAAGGTGCCCAGGCTGGGCTTGAACTCAAGACCCTCCTGCTTCAGCCTCCTAGAGTGCTGAGATTGCCAGCTTGCACGCTGGCAAGACTCACCTTTCAATAAAAAGACTGAGTCTCACCAGAGAGTCTGAGGCAGCAGCCAGCCCTCAGGGTGGACGGCGACCCTGGAATTCAATCCCTCGTCACCTCTGCCTAGCTGGGATCCAGCCTCATTGGCCCCAGCAGGAGTCAGGTCACTGTGTCCTCCCCTGTGATTCAGAAAGCATCACTACAGCCCCTGCTGTCCAGCCTCTCCAAACTCACCATCCTCGTGCCATCCCGGGAAGCTATTGAGGACATGGACCGAGACGAGAAGAACTTCTGGTTGTCCCGGCCCAATCTCCCGGTCCTGATAAAGTAAGTCTTGTCTATTCGGGTCTTCGCGGTGTCCGACGGGCACTGGTACAAACAGGACCTAGACGTTCAGTGCAGGGAGCCCCTGCCCTTCAGATCCAGTGGCTGAGTGTGCCCAGGGTTCCCTTCATTTCTCCACTACCGCGGTGACCGCTGGTGACTGTGACAGCCACCTCCGTGCCAAGCGTTGCGTGCAGCTTTCAGTTAACTTCCCAACAACGCTGACAGATAGGTGCTCTAACTACACCCTCTGTAGGTGTGGACTCAGGCACGGAGCCGTGAGGTGGCCAACTCAAGCCATGGCTATAGGGAGGGCATTTCGTATGACAGCCTGGCTCCAGCGCCTGCTCTCCCGGCTTCTCCCTGAATATTTCACAGTGAGCCTGTGGTCTGTCGTTTAGGTACCACATGGTCCTAGGCACCTACGGCTTGGCGGATCTGCAGGACCTGACGTCTTCTGACATGCTGGCCACGTCTCTACCGGGTGGCTTTGTTCACCTGGGAAAGGCAGACAGGGTAAGAGAGCCCTGTCGTTGGTCTCATCGCAGCACGACCTCTGTAAACCTTGTAATTTTAGCTTTTGTGGTAGGAAATTTCCAAATAAGTGCAAAAAAGTAAAGTAGAACCTCCATGTGAGCATCACCCAGTTGCAACGATTATCTGCGAATGTTCACACACACACACACACACACACGCACAGGCAAGGCGGTGGCACCGGCCCTGTGGAGGGTGGCCACGTTCCCTCCTCCTTGCAGGCACAGGCTGTTGGGGAAACGAGGAGCCTGAGCAAAGCCACGACTTTCGTTGTGCTGGGCCGTTGCTACGAACTGGCTACTACAGCCTACTAAGGGAGTTGCCGTCGATTCTCACAGGGACCCACACAGCTGCCCCTGCATGGTCAGCTCCCTGGGGGCCCCTTTCAGAAGGCAGAGCACACGTGGGTCCTTTTGAGCTTTAGCCTTTGTCCTTCTACTGTTCCATGTTTGCAGTCTGTGAGCACGTTCGTGGTAGGCAGTGGTGCATGGGCGTAACACGTCTGAATTCTTTGTCCATCTCCTTCCCTTCCTCTTCCCGTCCCTACTTCTCTTGGTCTCCTTCCCATTTGCAAAAGATCTACCTCTCTGTTTCTGTTATCTACCATTTCTTGCTCCTTATTTACACTTTGATTTTCTCTCATATAAGAAATTATGTGCTATTTAATATTGTGCGTCTGATTTATTTCACTTCACCTTGTGGTCCCAAGGTGCATCCATTTTCCTACAAATGCCTCAAGTTTATCCTTCTTTATGGCAGAGTAGTACTCCACTGTGGGTAAATGCCACGTTTTCTTTTCCCTTCATCTGCTGATGGACATGCAGGCCACTTCCAAGATTCTCTTGGGAGCTGTGCTGCTGTAAATGGGTATGCGTGGATCCCTGTAATCTAATGGCTTTAACTCTTTTAGGAAGAGACCTAGAAGCGGGTTAGGTGGGTCACATGGAATTTTCAGCTGTAGTTTTTTGAAGACTCTCCATACTGAGTTCCACAGTGTTCTCACCGACAGTGTAGGAGGGCTCCTTTTTGCCTGCAGCCTTTCGTGGATTTTTTTTTTTTACCTCTCATTTCAGTCATTCCAGTGACACTCGTGTTATCTGTGAGATTATTAAATTAAAAATTTGAGTAGACTCATGGGTACAGAGATACAGGAGGGATACGTTCTGGCGTTATTCTCACACAGAAGGGTGATCATAGCCAATGTTACAGAGATGGAATAGCTAAGAGATCTGGCTTTGAATGTCATCATCACAAAGAAACGAGAACTGACTGGGGTGACGGACGGGGCTGGGCGTCCCGAGTCGATCATCATACAGTGGACAACACGTGTGCTGAAATACTGCCCTTAAATGCACACCGTGGCCTGTGGATAAAAGGACACTCTGAATGCGTGCCCAAGCAAAGTGTACACATGAAGTGCCGTGCACACACGCACTGTAAAGTGATCTCTTTAGCCTTGGCAGCTCACTAGCGTTCCACCCCACCAGGTCTTCTAAGGACAGCTAGCTAAATGCCCTCCTTCCAGGCTCTGGAGATTCCCATGTGATCAGTCACGGCCCCGCCCTGAGCGGCTGACCCCGGAAACGCATTTTTAATGAGTCGCTCCTGGGTCTGGTAGAAGCATTCCCGCTATCCAGGAGAGATGAGCTGCGCCCACAATGAGACAAGTGTCCTTTCTTTACCCACATCCCCAGGTGGATCCCAATGCAGGCCTGGGTGGGTGTGAGGCAGAGGAACGGAAGCCAAAGGAGAAGCCAGTCGGGCCTTCTTGGCTGGTGCCTGGCGGGGTGGGAAGTGGGGTTTCACTTCACCCCCTTCCCCATGGGGTAAATACCCTAAGAGCAGATGGATTCTGACCAGCAAAACCAGTGACTGCCTGTACTGCTGTGCCGGGGCTGCTGGGACAACAGACAAAGCAGCTTAGAGAACAGAAGTGTATTCTCTTGTGGTTTTGAGAGCTGCAAGTCCTCGGTCAAATGGTTGGCAGAGTGGGTTGCTTCTTCGAGGAAGAGACCTCTCGGGCCTGACTCCTGGCTTGTGGCGGCTGTGTTGGTCACATGACCTCCGTCACTCCCCAGGTGTCTCTGTACCATGTGTCCCCGACCTACAAGGCCACCTGACATAGTAGACTAGGGCCCCCGTTTGACCCCGCATTACCTTGAGCACCTCTCTAAAAGCCGTGTCTCCAAATAGGGTCACAGCCTGAGCTTCTGGGGGTGAGGACCTCAGCGTATACATGGGGGGGCGCAGTTCACCCCACAACTCTGTTGGAAATTATTTTCAGGCTGCAAAGCCACTGAATGAACTGCACTGGAGCCTTCTTAGCGAAGTGGGTTAGCGAAGAACGGATGATTGGAGAACCTCTCACAGACAGGGTGTGGTTGAAAAGTACGGTGCATGTTATTTTTTAAGGTGAAAGACACGCCCACTAATTTCACTCAAAAATCCTCCCCTTTACTTCAAACACATGGATCCCAGCGCTCTTACCACTTTCCAAAGCAGCTCTGGCCCCTTCTTCGCTGAATGTCTGCGCTGTCCTGGCTGCCTCTGTGCCCTAATCACTTCAAAATGTCTATTTTTATGGCCATTTTGAGTGGAAATGAGCACAACAGGGCCAGATCCAGGCCGTGGTGGCTGGGGACCCACGGACACGTTTTCCCATCCCATCTTCCTGCTGGATGCAGCCAGCAGCAGCATCACTGTGTTTTTATCACGCCTGGCAGAGACACGAGAGATAACATCAAGACGCGTGCATTCCAAGGGTGTGGGAGGGTTTTGAGGAGGAATCGTGCTGATGTGTCTCTTACTGTAAAAAATGTTTAACGTAAACCTTTACTGTGCATTCTGGTCACACCTCACAGTAGGGGGCAGTACGGGTGTGTGTGTCTGTGTGGTGTCTAATGAGTCACAGTTTAAAGGTGTCCCTTTACTGCGGCTTATGCCTGAGAACATGCAGGTCGTGCTGGTCCAGGTGCAGCCCAAGGCGTCTTCCCCGCCCAAGGTGCTCTCAGGCTCACCTGACCGTGTGTTTGCAGAACGTCACTGTCGGAGGCGCCTCCATCATCGACGGTGACAACGTGGCCACCAACGGAGTGATCCACATCATCGACAAGGTAAGGACACCTGGGAGCCGGAGAGTCCCTCCCCGGCTGCCGACCCTCCGGTGTGGCATCGGATTCGGAAACTCAAACCTGCTTGGCCTCGCTGTCGAAGAAACCTGAATGGTGCTCTCTTAGCTTCATTTTAGTTCATAGGCAGACTTCAGTCACTCCAACCGCCTACTGCCTCTCGGCCTGTGCTCTGCACCAGCCCTCCGTTGGGTGTGGCACACACACACACACACACACACACGCTTGCACACTTCTCTCTCTGTAGAGAAACTACTAAGAGGCAGGTAAGCACCCAACAACATGAAGTCTATAAGTACCGCTCCATCCCTTCACCAAATTATCACACCCTAAAAATAATGGGGGTGGAGGCCCTAAGGAGAAAATGGAACAGGGTAGAAAAGGCATCATGAGATTTTCACTTTCTTCTGAGCCCCAATTCAACTGCACACAAAGGTGCGAAGTAGAAAACATTAAGAAAAGAAAAGGAAATGGGTTTATAAACAACCCTGTAATTTTCGGTTACTATAATAGGATCTTCATTTAAAATGAAAGCGAGAATTGAGGGTACACTGGGAACTTTGAAAAGGTAAAAGATTGGAGAAACAATTCACTAACTGCATCTAACTACAATTGTTCTCACTCAGCACTCATAGACTCACTTTTGATCTTAAGTTGTACAAAAGATCAACTATTTCTGTCCAGAAAAGAGAGGCTAATTTTAAGATTCCCAAGTCTGTTATTCTGAAAGCACTCAAGCCTCTCACCTTACCAAGAGACTGGAAGAAACATTTTTAAGCAAGGGGTCCATCTCTTGCCGAAAGCTATGATTTCCTCCAACACAAAGTAACACTATTTATCAGGAGTATTTTTCTTTGCCAAATATGGCTTTTCAAAGTACTAAATACCTTTTTAAGCTATAAAATTACCTCTTCTCTTTTCTTTCATTTTCTTTCTTTTTTTAAGATAAGGTCTTGCTTTGTGGTCCAGGATGGCCTTGAACTCACTGAGTGGCCCAGACTGACCTCTGTTCACATTGCTCTTCCTGCCTCAGCCTTCTAAGTGCTAAGATTACAGGCCTGCACCACCACAGCTGGCCTCCATTCTCACATCTTTGATAGGCACAACCTCTTTCATAGAATATCACCTCCATCTTTTCCCTACACTGAGCTTGTTACCATGGGGACTGATTCAAATCCCACCCTCTCTGCAGAGTCTTCCCTGAGCCATGCAGCCCACACTGCTGCATGTGACATGGTGTCCAGAGGCTAAACTCTAAAGCCATGCAGTCTCCGTGTGGGCGCTAACTAGCTGTGTGGCCCTGAGCCGTGTTTCCTTCCACTGTGAGGACTCAGCAACACTCTCAATGCCACCATCTCAGTCAAGGCTGGTTTGATCCTCTTCTTTTTCCTCCTGGCCCAGCATGGAATGGAGCTAAGTTCCAGCCCATACCACTTTCCATGCTCTGTACCCATCTGGGGTTCAAATCCTGGATGAACCCCAAATATTTGTGATGGCCTCGTCAATGCATATTGTTATGTGACCTGGAATAGGACCACCAAGTCCCATCAGCCACCTCCTCATAGTTTTCTGTCATTTCCCACCTAATTGTCTCAAGCCTTCCTGTCCCTTCAGCTTCCGAATGTCTATCTTCCTCTCACACGGGAACTGGCCAAGCTTTTCTGAAAAGAACTAGGTAACGAATACTAGGCTTTGCACTTCTGTAGCCTGGGTCACAACCATTCAACTCCACCAGTGAAGAACAAATCAGCCTTACACAACCTGTAAACAAATGTGCGTGGCTGTTCCAGGGAAACTGTTTTCAAATGGCAGCAGACTGGACTGGGCCACATGCTGTATATGCTCTGAGCTCCCTGAGGGCAGGACTTGGGCTTCGGTCACATTTGTGTACTGATTCCCGGGTCCCTACAGCCAATGAATGTTGGTTGGAGACTGAATTGGGCAAACAGTCCCATGTCAGGTTCTTCTATCTGAGAAGGTTCTAGACAGAATGAGAAAGTTCTAGATAGAATGAGGAGATGGAAATGATTACCTTGGCCAAAAGGCTGGCCCATGACGAAGGCAATGGCTGATACTCTCTGCTGCTGGCTCTTGTCTCTGGGATGAAGACTGATGTTTTCACCAAGGAGTCAGGAATGGTAAGAGTGCCTTGTTTTTATTACATTGCATGAGCCAAGCAAAACACATTTACAAGGCAGATTCAGGACACTGGATTGCAGCCGCCTTAAGACTGCTGGGAAAATAAATGAATTGCCTAAGGAGTAGAGACAAGAATAACAAAAAATAGATTTTAGCTGAAGCCTGTTGCTTTTCGGTTACTTTAGGGGTCCTCTTTGACTGGTGGTAGAACAGGTTGCTCAGGGGCCACTACAGAGTCTTTTGTGCAAAATGAATCTCTAATTAGGGGGAATTTATTTGAGGATGAGACACAAAAACTGAACATCTCCAAGTGCCTTCTAGCCTTGTCACTCTGTGTGCTAAAATAATTTTATTCAGTGAGTCATCAAGACATCTCCAGTGTCAATTCCCTTACCTGTCTAAAGAAGATAACAGGACTTTGTATGTATCACTGAGTGGCAAATGCTACAAAAACACACTGAGCAGAACTGGGGGCTTCCCTTCCCAGGTGCTGGTCCCCCAAAGAGGTCTAAGTGGCTCCTTACCAAACCTGATCACCCGGCTGGACCAGATGCCTGACTACTCCATCTTCCAGAGCTACATCACTGCAAGTACCTGGTTCCCTGCAGACCCCTGGCTCGGGTCACCTGAGGGCAGGAATCCTCAGACGCCCTCGTCTCTTCCCTCTGCAGCATTATGATCTGGCAAGTGTCATCGAGGATGCTGACACTTACACTGTGTTTGCCCCGAACAATGCCGCCATCGAGAAATACATCAAGGAGAAGAAGGTCGCCACTCTAGTAGGTATCAGTAACAGGAGCCAGGAGAGCTGTTTCCTGGACATTTAAACCCTGGATCCATCAGTGGCCAGGCAGGCAGGCACCCAGGAACTGGGAAGGGTCCTTGGGGTCCTCTGTCCTCCTCCTGCTGGCCTCTCCCTGGTCGGAAGCAGCCAAGATGCTAGCACAGGCCCCAGAGGAACGGGTCCTTCCTCCTCTTCCCCTGTTGTCCGTTCTCCCAATTCCTAACACCTGGGTAAACAAGTTAATGTTTGTCAAAGGATTCTGTGAATTACGAGGCTTCCGTTGTGATCTCTGGCTGCAAACCTGAAGGGGTCCCGTTTCCTGCCGGACTAACTGTGGACAGCCCCACCCCCCGGGGCCGGAGGACCCTGCTCCCTGGCCACACTCTTTCTACCTAGGCAGCCCCAGAATTTTCACACCGGGGGAGCCCTGGGCTGCCCCAGCCTCAGCCTCACATGGGAGGACCGGTGAGAAGTCAGTCTGCACAACCAAGTACAGTTTTCACCCGTATCTCCCCAGGGTGGCAGAGCTGGGGAGGCTAAACACATGGGTTAAGGGCTTAGAATCCCGCTGAGCCACCCTTGGGTGCCCCGTTGTCCCCAGCCCAGGCCTGGGGAAACTCCATGTTGAGCTCCCGTAACAGGGACGACAGACAGGCGAGACTCCCAGGATGGAGTCAGGAACCATCTTCCCATGCCTACCCCTTCCCCTGAAACCTATTCCTGGTGAATACTCTTTCTCCTGCTTTAGAATGAAACTTCAGGCAATCTCATACTCCTTCTACCTCCCGTACAAGTCCTAAAGTCACTTTAAGCTACAAACACAGCTCAGTTAAATGGTGGTGGTGGTGGTGTTGAGGATGATGGTGACGGTATGACCGACTGTGCTGTGAGCGAGCTCTGAGGTTCCCCACTGTTTTATGTGTTAGCTGGAGGCCTGGCCCTCCGTGCAGCAGGATTTCGAGGTGGAGTCTTTAAGAGGAGGGGCCTAGCACGAGGGGATCAGGTCACTGGGGGCTCTGCCCTCAGCCTCCTGGAGTTTGTGAGTTTTTCTCAAGGCCCCCCCTGTTCTCTGGCTTCCTACCCGTCTACATAATACTTTTGCTTTAATTTTTCTTCTTGCCAGTTCATGTTGGCAGTCCAGGAAGACTGCCTCTGTCCTGCGGGTTGGCACATGTACCAACCACAGCTCCATTCCTTTTCTGCACCCCATGCCCTTCCTCTCTCCGCCTCTCCATCTCTTGGTCCACTTCCCATTTGGAAAAGATCAATCTCCCCTGTTTCTATTACCTGTCTTTTCTGGGGGGGTTTGCTCTTTAAACTATTTATACTTTGGGTTCTCATAGAAGAGATTTGAATTCTCATATGACACTCATATAAGTGTCTGATTTATTTCACTCAACCTTATGGTCTCAAAGTACATCCATTTCCTATGAATCACTCAATTTTTTTTTTTTTTTGAGACGGGGTCTCACTGCATAGTTCAGGCTGGCCTTGAACTCACTGTAGCCTAAGCTGTCCATAAACTCCAGTTTATCCTTCTTGAAAGCAGAGTAGTACTCCATTGTGTCAAAACTACCGCATAAGTTCCCTCCTTGGCAATGCCACCAGCCCTGAGGCCCTCAGCCGAGGCCAAATAAGTGGAGCCACCTAAGCTTGGACTTTCTACCTCCAAAGCTGAGACAAACAATCCTCTTTTCTTTATTAAGTACTCAGCTGCAAGTGTTTTGTTACAGTCACAGAAAAATGAACTACACAGTTCCGGTAACGATCAACGTTTTGAATGGACTTTAGAACCATCTTCCCTCTTTGCCCACTGGAGTAAGAGCAGGCGAGAAGCTGGACAAGAGGGCCAAGTCCTCAGCCAGGGCCCGCCAGGAGACACAAATACACCAGTTTTTGTTCTCAGAAGGAGGATTTAGTAGTGGGAAATGTTTCATGAGTTTAAAGCCACCTAAATGTACCTGAAATGTGAGAAAGAAAGAGGGAGAGAGGGAGAGCCCCGAGGCAGCTCCTTGTGTGGCACCTGCCGCGTCTTGATGCCTGGCCGTCTCGCGTGTGGACCCGGCGTCACTGCCCTTTGTAGTGCCGGCAGGGTGGGTCATCGGGAACCCCCAGCTTGCTGCTGTGCTGACCGACCGCCCCGGGTGTGCAATGCAGGAGGAGGACACACTCCGCTATCACGTGGTCCTGGAGGAGAAGCTCCTGAGGAACGACCTGCACAACGGCAGGCACCGGGCGAGCATGCTGGGGCCCTCCTACCTGCTCGGCTTCTTTCTCCGCAGTGACCAGGTCAGCCTTTGATTTACTTATGACCCGGGCTCGGGTGTCATGGCCCTTAGCAGCGTTCACCTCTTCCACATTCCCCCGGCGTCCAAACCCTTATCACCCTGGAGGACTTGTGGTTGCCAGAAAGCCAGTCACAAGGAAACTAGAGTCGCCTTCCTGTGCCCAGGCTTCAGGTGGCCAGGGTGGCCCACAAATTGTGGGATTCGGATCCCAACAGCCGAGGCCACTTCCACAGTAGTGTGGCAAACCCAGTGGACAGTCCCCACCCGACTGGTCTCCAGGACGCAGGGGAGCCTGGAAGCCCGTGGGCCTCCCAGGAAGTGGAGCTGGTTCCGGGACAAAAGGAGCCCCGTGTCACACAGGACTCAGTCGCCAAACGGATGAGTGTGACTTACTGTGCAATTACCAGCCACTGTGCGGGTGCTCCAGTGCTCCCACCACACGGTACCTCGATATGTAAATGACTGGAATTCATAGAAAAGAACTACCGAGGCTAAATGTTCAACATTTTTCATTTTTTGTTTGGTACTTCTGTTTTGTTTTGTTTGAGACAGGATCTCACTGTGTGTACTCCAGGCTGGCCCTGAACTCACTAAGTAGCCCAGGCTGGTCTTGAACTCATGGCAATCTTCCTGCCTCAGCCTCTTAAGTGCTGGGATTACGAGCATGAGCCACCATGCTCAGTTTATTTTAACATGTTTCAAATGTAAAATCTTATTTGTGTACTTCAAATGTCAAGGGAAAAGAAAAAACCTGTGAGATTTTACTAAGAAACTCACGGTGAAATTCTATAATAAATCCTCACGAGAAAAATCAATAAAAACAAATTGTTATTTAAGAACCATTAAGGATTATATAGAAATGACAGTTTAACTGTAAGCTCTTTCAAGCCATAGTATTATTTAAGCCTTTTTTAAAAGTAATCTTAAAAAGCAATTTCTTCAGTTTTGTCAGCACTGAATCAGAAGTAAATATTTTTGTAAATGTTTTCTTCTTCCTGGAGTTCAAAAAGAACTTTCTATTCTTTATTACTTGGCAAATAATCAAACTCCAAATATCTTTCTGACTCTTACAAATAATTCCACCTATTGTACTGAACTTTGAGGAGATCCTTTTAGATACTTTTTCTAATTTTTCTTGGATTGGCAAATTATGTTATTGATAAAATTGAGTTTTCATTTCTGGTTTGGGTCTTATCTGTCATTCCTTATTGCATTTTGTAAAGATGGACAGCTCTGTATGATTAGTTGAATCAATTTCAATGTTGTAGTTGAATGCTGTAAGTCATTTTCCATTTGCCCAGCAACTCTTTTATTGGGAGAAAGAATTATTCACACAACAGAGGCTTTGCTTTCACTGATATTCGTCTATTTCTCTGTGACCCTGGAAGTGCAGGAAAATGCTTTCCAAATGAGTAGGTGTGTTTAAGTCAAACTTTTAATGCAGCCCATAATCCTCTGAATGTATCTCATGATAGAAGTGACTCAGACTGTTTAGCGCCAAGTTAAAAAGCATTACAACATCAAATGCTCTGCTATGTGGATACTTAAAAATAGCTCAGCATCTTGAATTCTGGAAATTTGCGCTGTAATCACCATTTGAGACCAAATAAGGTTTCCTGGTCATTTTCCAAAAGAACACGGAACTGTAGAGCACCTCCGTGGAGTTCAGCCGTGATTCATCTCAACAGCTAAATAGAAGTTCATTTTACTGCAAAGAAATCACAAGGGACTTTCACATTCAGGGGAAAATCAAATTTAGGCAGTTAGTAGACCATTTCATTTTTGGGGGTTTTGTTTTGGTTTGGTTTTGGGGGGGTTTGGTTTTGGTTTGTTTTTTATTTTTTGATTTTTGTTTTTTGTTTTCAGTGGTAGTGACAAATGAATTTGGCCTTCACACTGACCCACATCCCAACCCTTTTATTATAATTATTTTTATTACTATTAATTTTGAGACAAGGCCTCGCTAAATTGCTAAACTCCCAGGCTGAGTTTGAACTTGTGATCCTTCTGCTAACAAGATCATTTCATAAAGCTCAGTTGGCAGTGTTGAGGAAGTCATTTTATGTATTATTTTATGAGTTTTAAACCCCTCCTGGATACTAACTTGATACCTGCTTAGTATAATAAAACATTTCTCCCTTTCCAAACCTCAGCCCTGCTGTGTCTTCACACTCATGGGCACAGGCCACCCTATTTTTAAAGAACTATTGGTTTTCATTTATACTCACAGTATAATGGATTAATGGCTGATTCGCTAATGAAGCAGTGGCTTCATTTATTTTTCATGACTCAATCATTTAAATGTCCTTTCTTGCAAGAAGTTACAATTTAAAGTGGAATTTGGCATGGCAGCAGTGAGACACTTAGTAGTCCCGGGCTGGGCCGTTTTAGGACTCTCCAAACGAAGAAGGACCGGGACATACGACTTACAGTTCAGCCTTTCTCAGAGCCGCCTGCCATGTGCTGTGCAGCAGAGGCGAGCTGGAGAGACGGGCTGTGCTCTCCGTGGGTCGGTGTGGAAGCCCCAGGCCGCAGCATGACCGAGAAACTCCGAGCAGCTGTCCCACCAGTGGGCACCAAAATAAGGATTATAGTATTTCTAAAATTAACTTGAGAGATGGGGAGATGACCTACAGATTATCTAGCACAACCTTCTCCTCCTAAAAAAGAGAAAGGAGAATGACTGCCCCAGGGTCCCACAGCTCACCAGGTCCAAGGCAGGACAGCGCCACCTGGCTCAGGCCCAGGACAGATGGGGAACCTCTCCGGGACGTACTGGTGCTGATGGTCTCCGCCGCCCGTCTTCCCACCTGCTTAAAAATCACTGCCACAAAGTCCTGTTTAACCCTCTGTTCACAGCTCTATGTAAACGATGCGCCAATAAACTACACCAACATAGCCACCGACAAGGGAGTGATCCACGGCCTAGGGAAGGTTCTGGAAATTCAGAAGAATAGATGTGATAACAATGAAACCACCACTGTACGAGTAAGTTCTCTCTGGGCCTAGTGATGCCATGAGTGAGGAGTGTCTTGATTTCATTCTTTTTTAAGCTTAAGGATTTTCCGTTAGGGCATCCCCAGTCACCCCAAAGTATGCGGTGAGCATTTCTGAGGTATGGAACGCACTGGGCTGGGGTTCTGCAGACGAATAAGACGTGGCCAGGTGCTGGATGAACTTGTGATCTTGTGCAATCCACTGACCGGACCTCGTTGCCCACCTGGAGGGCTGTGTGGAGCAGGATTCTAAAACCATGAGACTCTCCAAAGGGAAACCATCCGCGCCTCGTACAGGCAATGCGGAGGGGCCCTGGGGCACCAGTGGCAGCTTTGGCCAAGCCTGCTCTAGTAGAAGAGAAACACAGATGCATGCTCACTCTAGACCATGGGGCAGTGTAGGACCTTTCGTGATAGTCATAGTCACTGGTGTTTCTTAGGCACTCACGATGCAATTCTGAACAGTTGGGTGCTCTAACCATGGACTCCTCACAACACCCTAACCGGAACTACCGCGACCATCCTCACTTTTCAGAGGGGAAATGGGCCATGAGAGGTTAAGCGATGCACCCACATTCACACATTGGCGACAGGCAGAAAAGGGGTTCCAGTCCAGCCAGCCTGGCCTGGAGCCAGAACTCTGGAGCCACACAGTACCAAGTACTTGGAAGCCGGGCAAGGTGGCACATGCCTGTAATCCCAGTGTGTGGGAGGCTGAGGCAGGAGGATCACTGCAAGTTCAAGACCAGCCTGGGCTACATAGTGAGATCCAGAGCAGTCTGAACTACATAGTGAGAACCTGTCTCAAAAAAAAAAAAAAAAGGAAAGAAAGAAATTGGGACACTGGCCTGCTTCTATCTTAGGAACAGGTAGCACACAAGAGTTTCTATCGTGTGTAACATTTGTTCTTTGTGTGTGTTGTTTCTAGAAAGTATCTTGACCTTGCAGCCCCCAACCGAACCAGGTTCTTCCCATGCAGGGCACTGTGGACAGCTCCCTGTTAGTCTCTGAATCTGGCCCATTTGACTAAGTGGGGTTCCCCACAAATGAGGGATGCTGTTAAAAGAATTCAGATTTAGATGAGTTCAGACCTCCCCACTTCGAAGGGTTACCGGAGTCAGAAGACTGGGGGAAAACACAATGCTCAAACATGCACACCCTGAAGTCATTTAAGCGTTTGTCTGAAAGAACATTAAAGAGGTTGGCCAGATGTTCTCCCTTGACTTTCAGTTCTACATTCCAAAGCCTCCAAGCTCTGGAAAGTAATTGCAGGCTGAGTTTGTGCTAAAACTAATAATCTTGAAATGTCTCGTTTGCCTCTGTGTTTGCCCAGGGAAAGTGTGCGAAGTGTCTGCAGCAGCCCACCTGCCCTCCTGGAGCCAAGCCTCTGGTAAGTATTTCGTGTGCTTTGAAAAGAAGGTTTACAGCTCTAAGGGAGTCCAGGCAAACGTCATTTGTAGGGTCCTCATTCCTTCCCTGGGTTTTAATTGAACCTTAGAATATTGTGTGCCTCCTGGTAAATTCTTTGTAATTCTACCTCGTTGTATTGTATGCATCTTTGTAAAGTTTTAAATGCACTTTTGGAGGTACTAAGGACACATTTAATTAATAACTACATAGAAATGTGTTTGTAAATCAGCACACAATGCAAGAAGGGGTTTTTCTCTTTCCCCAATCTATTATAGGAACCAGCAGAGGAAAACAACAAGAAATGTAATAACATAGGAGAAAACAGGCAGCATATCCAGAACCATACTGGGCCTGACACATTCCACCTGCTGGATTTCCTTTTATAGTTGAAGCTACAACTTTCTCAAAGAAATGCACCCAACAAGGGAGAGGCAGGCATGGCTTTGAATGAAGCACCCATCTGTTTTTTGCAGCTTTTTTTTTTTTTTTTTTTGCAATAGCTACTTCTGAAAACAAGCAATACAAAGAAAAACACCTGCATGCCTTCCACAGCACTGCGGCAATTTACAGTGACTATAATGAATGCTGATTCTCTCCTAGGGGTTTCAATTTGATCTCATGTATTTTAAATCTTTAGGCAAAGTTAACCCTTTGTCCCACCAGAGCAGAGTCAACAAACAAATAGACACCCAGGTTTCTATGGATGAATGCATGGGGCTGTACTATCTGATTTATTCCACAATTCTTCCGAACTCGAGTTTCTATGAAAGCCTTCTTCTTACAGAGTCCTATTGTGTGGTGTGATTTGATTTTTCTGCCTGGCATTCTTTGCGTTTGCCACTCCTGCCAACACTGGGTTTGGGGTTTTTCTGCTTCCGAAGCAATGCAGAGAAGCTACGTTCCTTCCTTTCCAGGCCATGCTGATCTGACAGCGATGCGTCATTCATTTACTTCAGGAAATGGTTTCCTGATGAAAGACCAACTGAGTTATCGCCGTCCCCACAGGGCAATGAGAAGAACAGGTGTGTCTACAGCCTTTATTTCCTGGGGAAGCGTTCGGTGTTCATCGGGTGCCGGCCGATATGCGTGAGAACTGTCATCGTGAGTACCGTGACTTGGTGACACTTCTGGTGCGCGACCCTGGGAAAACCCAGCCAACCACAGGCTGCTCCTCAAAGCGTGTCTCCCCATTCCTACTCCGGCCGTCTCCGCTGTCACCGGCACCCAGCTCGGTAGCGGTGGTGGTGAAAGTCAGGAGCAGCCCCCACATCAGAACACGAGTAAAAGCTGCAGTGTTCCTTTGGTGGCGGAGGGGCGGAGGCGATGGTGGCGGCCACCGGGGGACGTCGAGGCACACCGGTGGTTTAGAGAACGGGACCCAGAGCTAGGGACCTCGCGGGCCACTCTGGGATGGACAGGAAAATTCTCTGGCACTTGCTGGCCTGTCCAGCAGAGGGGAGGTCTTGCCCTTGCACCGCAGAGTGTGGGACAGGCAGGTTTTGTCAGAATGACCGGAGAGCAAAGGCAGAGGAAGCAAGTGGACACTCCGGGGCTTTCCGAACCTCAGGATCTCATAAAATGACCAGGGCCCGGCCTCAGAGGCCTCCAGTGCCGTGTTCAAAGCGCAGGGGCCCAGGTCTGGGGGGTGACAGAGCCTAGGTCTAGGGTAGTGGAGCCCCGCTTTTGTCCCCCAGTTGTCCCTGCTGCCCCTTCCTTCCAGGTTCCCTCCCCTGGCCTGTTCCCTTTCCTGCCTTCTCAGTGGGGCCTCAGTCCTCTCTCAGGACCTGCGGAGTCTCCCCAGCCGGCCCCGCCCACCCTTCAGGCCCGGCCGACACGGGCAGCCGAGTCCCCGGGTGTCCGGGAGAGGGCGCCCTGCAGCCTGCGCCTCCCTTGCAGACGCCCGCGTGCTGCGCCGGCTTCTTCGGGCCCGAGTGCCAGGCCTGTCCCGGGGAGCGCGGGAGCGCCTGCTTCGGGAACGGAGTCTGCATGGATGGTGTGAACGGCACAGGCGCCTGCAAGTGCGACCCCGGCTTCCACGGCACGGCCTGCGAGACCTGCGCGGATGGCAAGTACGGAGTACACTGCGACCAAGGTGCGTGCTGCGTCCCTGTCCCGCCGCGCCTCTCCTCCGAAGCTGCACCCCACGAGTGGGTGGTTAGGATTAAGCTACATCCCCAGTCCACCTTTATTTATAATTTTGAGACAGGCTCTCCCTAAATCGCTAAATTGCCCAGGCTGAGTTCTAACTTGAAATCCCCCTGCCTCGGCCTCCCAGAGTGCTGGGAGTACAGATGTGCACCACCACGCCTGGCCCTATTGTGAACTGTAAGACCCTCAGTGTTGAGTTATTTCCATAGGGCTGTTTCTAAACGTCTGAAGTCACTGACCTGGACCTTCCACCCCACCCCATCTGTTCATTCGTAACCCTAACCCAAGCGCTTCTCTCTAATTACTGTGTACAGTAATCTTCACGGCTCCTTCCTGGTACACACGTTGCCCCACAGTTTGAAAACAGGTTTGTCCATATCATCTCATTCAATCTGAAAAGAACCCTACATACTTAGATATGGCCATGGCCGTTTTACAGATGAAGATGTGAGGCAGAAAAGGCTGTCACCCCAACCCTCTGGGAGGTTGAGGCAGGAGGACTGCAGATTCAAGGCCAACCTGGGCAATTTAATAACTTAGGCTATGGCTCAAAATTTAAAAATGAAATAAACTGGGTCACAGCTCAGTGTGTTCAATCCCAGGACTGAAAAAAAAAAAAACTGATGAGAAGCAGAAGTAAGACTTTAATGAGTAAGCTTTGTGCTTATCTCTTAAATGAAGCTGTCCTTGGTCACTAAGGAATGAACAGATCGCTCTCTTGATTTGCCATCAGCAAGCCATCTGCTCTGTTCTTGCAAAAACAGTGTTCAGCGGCTGAGTTGTCTATATTTTTTGCGCCTGACTTTGTTGGGCCCCGGGGGGGACACATCTGTCAGGGGCAGAAGCTTCCTGTTCCTCAATTAGAAACAAATCATTGTTCTTCCTGATCCCAAAGCCCATAGATTTAGCAATCACCGTTTTCTCATCAGCTGGTCTAACTCGGGCAAGAGTAATGTGTGGTGCGACTATTACACTGGGACCACACACTACTGAAATGAGCATTGGTTTTTCCCCTGTGTGTTTGGAAGAATTTTATGCTTGCAGGTGTGTAAGAGTTCTGAACCTGAAATCCACAAGTGACCCACAGATCCCCCAAAGCTGACTGTGTTTGGGGGGAAGAAAGCTTCCACAGCTTTCACCCCATTCTCAGAGGTCTGCGAGCCTGCTGTGAGGCAGGGACCGACACTGCCAGGCTATTGGAGAAGGCGGTTGTGGTCATCGCCCTGGGTCCTCAGCCAAGCCCCACAGAGCCACCCAGTTCCAGAACCTGGCCGTGGAGGCTCTGCTGAGGCACACCAGGGGCCACCTGTCACCCACATCCCTGGCCTGCGTCCCCACCCCTCCTGGGACTCCGGCTGCCCATGAGGGACAGCGCATCCCAGAACCAGGCTGGGGAACAGAAGCCAAAGCACTGCACCCAGCCCGTGACACATGAGGTGCTGGGCAGGCCCTGGTCTGACGGTCTGAGGGGGTCTTTCCACAGTGTGTTCCTGTGTCCACGGGAGGTGCAGCCAGGGACCCTCGGGCGACGGCTCCTGCGACTGCGCCGTGGGCTGGCGGGGAGTTCGATGCGACAGCGGTAAGCGGCAGCCTGCACGCGCCTGCTCTGCTTCTCTGCACCGTGCTGTTCTCTTTCTAGAAGAGAAACGACGTCCATGCTGCTGCTTCTGATGATAAGCATAATGCCTTCTGGCAGTGAGTAGTTTGTAAAGTAAAGAAAAGCAAAAGGAGGAAAATGAAAATTTCTCATACAGCCTAGGCAGGAAAAAATACTACTGAAATTTTGTATCAGCCTCCAGCCTCCTCTAGGTGCGCAGTGTTTTAGGACCTGCACTTGCTCTTCAGGGGAGAGAAGGGAAGTTTTCGCATGTGAGGAGCCAGATGTCACTAATTTTAATGGGGTTTTTTTTGCGGTGCTGAGGATAAAACCCAAGGCTTTGCAACCCCACGCTGGCAATTGCACCACCACGGAGCTATACCCCCGCCCAACTGCAGCTTTTTAAACCAATTTCCTGTCAGAAATAGTGCCACAGTGAGCACAGTCTATAGGTGTCTTTCCACAGTTATTACAGTGGACCTTGACTTACGAACTCAGTTCTTTCTCCAAGGCTGGTTGTAACCCAAGACGGTCGATGGAGGCTCAGGCTGCTCTGCTCTACACAGCCCTCAGAGTCTCTCTCCCAAGTACAGGCAGATCTCGGCGTCCTTGGAGAGACACCGGCCCAGGATCTCCCAGTGAGCCCCACGCAGGAGAGAACGTGGTCGTGTTCCCTCCAGAACTCCTTAGGGTTAAATCTGTACCTGAGATCATTCAGAAGCGCAAGCTGCCGGCACTGGCATTGCAACTCGACTTTGTTTGTAATTAAAACTGAAATTCCAGTCGTATCCCAAGTTGGTTGTACATCAGGCCGGTTGTAACTGGAGGGTCCACCGTACATCTGGTCACGCTCCCAGAGGCAAGGCTCTGAGGCAGGACCCGGTGCTCTGGGGAAGGTTTGCTACCCGTGGCGCCATTGCCCCCCAGAGGTGATGCCCGTGCGTTCCTCCACCGCGGGCTTGGCAGGCCGTGCCCTCCGGTCTCACCGAGTCTCGCTCTCTGCACTGCGCATGCGGGAGACGAGAGGAAGGAGTATTGCCAGTGTGTGTAGCAGCACAAAGGTGTGGGAAAGCCGCCGGCGCTGGGACTGGAGCTTTTAGAGCAGAGCAGCAGGCAGGGACAGGTCCGTGCCGCTGTGGAGGCTGGGCCTCTGCTGAAACCACTGGGCGCCCCTGGAGGGTGGAACGGGGGAGCGATTCGACCTTATTGGCAGGTAAGAGACACTGGACTGGCCAGAATACCACGGATCAGAGATGTCCCCTCCTGTGGGGCAGGGACCAGAGTGGAGCCCACGGGTGCCCGCCACCCACTGAGGCCTCCAGGGTGTGGCTCTAGCCGCATCACCACCCAAAGCTCCAGGCAAGGGTAAAGTCCAGGGAAAGCAGAGCCCAGAGTTGGTTGACAGCGGAAGTGGGAAGGCTGAAGGGTCCAGAGCAGGGGTCCGGTGTCAGGCTCAGAGACGGATGTGGAGGGCTGGGAGGGAGCAGGAAGGGGCGATGGGTCACACAGCCCTACACGAACCCCTGGGACACCCTCCAGAGTGCCCTTCTGTGCTTGTAAGCCTTGTGCGTGGAGAGCCAGCCTGTTTGAAGGGACAGGGACCAGGCCGGAAGCCGTGGCAAGCATGTAGGAGGTGACTGATGTCTGAACCCAGGCAGCAGCGTGACTGTGACAAGCAGGGAAATAGAGACGCCGGGTGATCGAGTGAGGCAGGTGCTGAAGGGAGGCAGCGGGAAGGGAAGCAGGCCAGGTGTGGGGTGGCTCTTGGACGTGACTCAGGCCCTGGCCTGAGGAGCCTGGGATGTGATGCGTTCCAAGCTCAAACTCCTCAGTGGTGGGGACACAAAGCCTCCTCACCAACTGCAGCCTGCCCAGCTGTCCAGCTCCTGCCCCACCCCAGGGCACACACTTCCCAAGGAGCTTCCAGGTCACGAGGGGAGTGAGACAGGGAAAGAGCTGTGTGTGAGCGCGAAGCAAAGACTCTAGAAAACTAAGATACTTTTGTTCACCCGCAAGCTCCCCGTCCCCGAGCCGTGGCAAACATCACTATTCAGCCTCTGCACACCCTCCCTCTGCAGCCAGACAGAGAGAGAAACCAGATCTTTCTCAGAAAAGCACACTGTGGAGTCACTACCAATTGACTGAACTTGGTTTAAAAATTTAGAGCAGGTTCCAGAGAAGGGACCTAAAAGGTGATTGGGGTTCCAATAGGTAGAGACTAGAAAGAGAGATTTCTAGGACCGAGGAAGCAAACAAATGAAAAGCACAACATTCTCTTGCACTCATCCACTCCAGCCTAATTGAACTTATAAACGTCCCATCTAACACAAAACAGATCCCTTCGGGGCCAGGTGCCTGCCTTAGGACCCCTGTGGCGTGGCCAGGGCTGCTGAGATTGCTACCCCAAAAGCTGCTAGCTTGAGCATCCTGCCAAGGAGACTCTTTCCACATCTCTGATGATTGAATGTTTTCCTGCTGAGAAGTATCTCTTAGCCAGGCATCCAAGAGCCATAACCTACACTAAATTTCCAGGACATTTAGAAATTAATGCAATAAGTGAATATCGTATACCTGTTGTGTTCCAGGCCCTGAGCTATTGCCAAAAAAAAAAACCTTTTCAGTATTACTTATAGTTTAATTAAGGGTTTGCCTGTTTACGTCACTCCATAATAAGACAAAGGAAAATGAGAATGAATGAAATTCGAAAGAATAACATAGAAAACATAAATAAAGGTAAAAACAAAAACCCTGAGAAAGGACACCCATCAGCGCTGGACCATTAGAGCCCATGGCCACACTTGAAGGAGAATCCTGTGTTTTACTCACCTTGCACCCTCAGTGCCCAGTGCAGAGCCTGGCACGCAGGAAACACTCCTGAGCACCCTGGCAGCTGGTGTAAAAGGAGGTTTACACAGTTGTGGGTTCACGTGGCCACCCGTCTCCTGCAAGGAAGTCGTTCTTTTCCTAGCTCCGAGTACTAAAGCAGATTCCCTCCTGAGAGCTAACCCTGGGCCTGGTTCTCTTCCAGCCATCACAGAAGACAGCTGCAACGGGACTTGCCACACCAGTGCCAAGTAGGTACCCCTTGCTGCCTTTAGGGACAGGCCGAGGGGGTCCTGTCCCACAGTGGCCATCCCTTTCCTGGCCTTGGGGAAGTGGTTTCCTACACCATGTCTGAGGATTTAGGGTACGTTTAAGTATGAAATGGAAAACACCTCTAAGGAGGCCACCCTCAGCGTGCCAGACGCCCCCACCTGGCTTGCCCGGGACCCTGACACATGTCCCTTGTTACTCCCAGTCCTGCCTCAAGACTATCCTGGAAACCCGAAGGCACTGGTTTGCCTGCTGCCAAAGCACAGCCAGGCCTTCCTGGCTCCGTCCTCTCCACCCCAGTGGGGTACACACACTCGAGTGCCAGAGAGCTCGACTGGCCAGAAGAGCCCAGACACGGGGTCAGACCTAGCTCAGGGTCAGCCGCTGTGTCCTTCCCTGTTTTCATGACCTTGAATCCGTCACTGAGTCCAAGCCTCGAAGTCTTTCTGCGATGGAAAGATCAGTATGGCCCCAACCTGCTGGGGCGATGGACCGTGCGGGTGACAGGGAGTGTGCGCGAAGCTCAGCTGCCCGCCCCCGTTCCTGGCTCCGAGCTGACCCTCGAGCAGACTCCCGCAGCCTGCCGCTCACCACCGCCGTTGCAGTTGTCTGGGCAGGGCTGTGCCAGGAACAGAGGTGGGCCCGGGGGCGCAGTGACCCGGGAGTTGGTACCCTCTGCCGACACCGTTTGCCCTCTCTCATGGCAGCTGCCTTCTCGACCCGGACGGCACCGCAGCGTGCAGATGTGCCGCTGGATTCCAAGGGAACGGGACCGTCTGCAAAGGCAAGTGCAGGAAGGTGCCGGGGCCCGCGAGGCCTGCGCAGGTGCTGAGATACCGTGTGGCCGAGACCGAAGGGCCCAGCGCGGGCACAGCCATAGCTGGGCAGCTGATGGTGCCCGGGACCGGAAATAACTGCGCATGGACGGGCATGCGGGCTCGGGGCTGGGCGGGCGATGGCACCGGCTTCCGACGCACAGCAGCCCCGCACTCTGGGCGGGCGATGGCACCGGCTTCCGACGCACAGCAGCACTGCAGTCCAGGCAGGCTGCCGGCCTCGAGAGCGGCCGAATCACCCGGCAGTTCTCAAGGCCAGGGTTTTACGGGCCAAGGGCGTGGCCCGGGGCTGCTCTCCCAAGGCGAGGCCAAGGGCTTGGGCTCCATGCCCGGTCCTTCCTCCTGCTGGCCCTGCGGCCTGCAGCAATCGCTAGCTGCCCTGAGCCCATTAGCTCATTGGTAGAGTGGACAAAACCGCCTTCCTGGCCCTTTGGCTGTGGGGGTCAGTGGCAGATTTGTGTGGCTGTGAGACCTCGGCCTCCTCCTGAGGCTCCCGCGGTGGGAATGTGAGTCCCTGCCATCTACACGGCCTCGGTGAAGGCACTCAGTGCTCTCCGCACCGCGTGTTCATCTGCAAGTCGGGGATCGAGGAAGTGAGCCCCTGCCGGGTGCGGGGGTGCAACCCCGAGTCATGCCTGGAAAGGCTAGGAAATGTGAGCTCTTTTCTTCTTATGGTGCCAGCAACATAGTGCTAGAAAAAAAGAAACAGCGTCACTTTTCTCCCGAGCACCGTGTCCAGCAGGCTTTGGTCCAGACAAGACCACGGTGGCTGGGGCCCCCATCTTCCCCTGGGGTTCCCTGGTCGCAGTTGTTTCCACAGGGAAGTGTGTAGCACGCTCGTGTAAACCGCTGGGCCCGGCAAATACCTGGGATGGTCGCCTTGCTCTCTGTTTTGGGGAATTCACCATATTTAATCTGATGCCTGCCAGCGTAGTTTTGAAACATCTTCGGTCTCTCAAAGACTCAAAAGGCAGGCCAGGGATTTAGCTCAGTGGTTCCACCACCTGCCTCACAAGCACAAGGGCCCGAGTTCAATCCCCACTACCAAAAAAGAAAAAGAAAAAGATTCAAAAGGCATGAGTAGATTTCATTTACCCTCCCCCACCTCTCCTGTTCTGTGTCTTCTCTCCCATCACAGCCATCAATCCCTGCGAGACCAGAAACGGAGGATGCTCATCCAAGGCTGACTGCAAAAGAACCACCCCTGGAAGCAAGACGTGTGTATGCCAGGCAGGCTACACCGGCGATGGCATCGTGTGCCTGGGTAGGGCCGCCTGGTCCCCGGGGAGGGGTGAGAGTCGGAGCCTGTGGGTCATGCATGGGGCTCCCGGTGCAGGGCCCTCCACTGCCGGCGCCTTCGCTCGGTGTGTCCTGGCACCTGAGGGCACAGAGATGATGAGACCCCAGGGTGGGAAGGGATGCAGCCCAGAAACCACCCTGGAAGGAGAGATGTGGAGATTTTTCTGGTTAAAAATTATGATGGTGGCTGCATTTTTAAAATTTGACTCGTTTTTTGTTGTTGTTGGTTTGGGGGTTTGTTTGCCCAGTTAGCACATTCTTGTTGCAGAAAAATCAGAAGCCATATGCATTGGGGTTAAAAAAAATTGAGAGATACCTACTCTAGTTTCATATCACCTCATTTTTCTATGTATTTAGGTGTTTTTTAAACAAACAAAAAAAATAAGTGTTTTTTAAGCTTGATACACAGTGTTTATTGTGCTTAGCAATGTGAGAGCATCTCTTTCCCTGAAAAAAATAAATATACGCTGCATGGTTAATTTCAAGGCTACACGATATTCTACTATAAAGACATGCCATAGTAAGTGGTCTGAATTTTAACTTTTTAGCTGAAAAAAATCTATGAAGAACAGTTGCAGGTATCGTGTCGATGAGACCACTTTCTTTACCTATATTCTCTTATTCATGTTTTACTCGACTGGCTTTATCATTTCCTCCTCCGTGTGTACATTTTTCTGTTCACCATTTGGAAGAAATATGACTCTGTTGTATCCCGTTTATCCCCAACAATCGAGGGCTGTTTCCTGGGAATGTGGGCAGCCTCTTAACACGGTTAGCAGCTTCAGTACACCTCTCACAGAAGTAATACGTCTGATTTCCGTTTGCGTTCTGATTTTGTCAGTCGCACCCGTAATATCCTTCTGCACACTTCTCTCTCCAGGCCAGGACCCTGTCCCCATTTAGTTGTCATCTCTCTTTAATCCGTTTGATCTGCAACATCGCCCCGCCTTGCTTTGCCTCTCACAACACTGACATTCAGGAGGAACACGCCAGCCTTTTCACTTTGACAGCTTGTCCTTCTCAGGGCTCCTTCTGAGGTTTTTCCATGGTTGCATTCAGCTTGCACTCTGCTGGCCCAGATGTCACCGAATGACTGCATCCTTCTGGGGGTGACCACCCTGACCCCCGAGATTTCGGTCCACCTCTCCTCGGGACATGAAGTCTGACCGCTCTGCCAAGGCTCTGCTGTCCGATTTCTCCGCTCTGGAGTTATTTTTTTCCCTCTGCTTCCGACAAGCAGTTGAGAGCAGACTCTTGATCAAATCCACCTCCTCCTTATCAAATGCCCCCCTCAGTTTAGCGTCTCCGGGAGGTGTTTCCTGGCCCAGCCTCCTCACGAATGGCAGACAATTTTCGCTTCCATTTCTCAGCTCTTCCATTTGTGGCTCTGGGCCAAGCGCTGAGACCGCGGGGTGAAGCCCTTGGTCAAACACATTCATGTCCACCTGGTGGAGGGACAGATCCAAGCCTGCAGACCACAGCTCTGCCGGAACGGGCCCCTCCCAGAGGAGCTGCTTTTGAGAAACTAGTACAGAGGTGGTTAAGCCCTCCCACCTTGAAACACCTGAGCTCTTATTTACCCCTACTTGTCCGGAAACAAGCAGACCTGCTCGTCTCCCAACGGGCGATACTTTATACTTAAATATGACTGCAGTGTGAGCCCCACAAAACACATGTATCTGTCCTGTTAGCTTTACCATTTACCCACAGTGTGTGCTCTTCCTGTCACACATATCTTGTTAACCTAGCTTCGCAGTGGGCAGCACTAAACTTCTGTGTGAGTGACCTGTTCCTAAAGAAAGCCCCAAACAACAGGTCGATTGTGGCACCTGCTTACCTGCTTAAAAAAAGCAACTCCTCCCTCTGTAAACTTCTGCTTTGCTCGCCCCAGCCCCCTCCCGACTTAAAACTGCAGTATGAAACCTCTCCTTTTCAAGCACTCAACACCAGGCTTTTCAAAACTATGAGCTTCACTGGCCCAACCAATCATTAAACTCTTGGTTTTTCCTCCGCTTTTTCGAGTACAATGTTCAGTTTTTCCTGCGGTTCAGAATCTCTGCAACAAGACCGTATCTGGTCCCCTCCTTTAGGTTACTTCGGCCCTGAACTGCCAACAAACTGAATCTCACGCAGCATCTGCAGCTCTCACTCTTGCAGCTGCCCTAGCCAGGTCCTCACGAGGCCTCCACTTGGAAAGGAGGGCCTGATGTTCACGACAGGCATTGGTTTTTGTTTTGCAGAAATCAACCCGTGTTTAGAGAACCACGGTGGCTGTGACCGGAACGCCGAGTGCACACACACAGGCCCCAACCAGGCGAGTTAGCCTCTTCCAGGTAGACAGGCTGAGGGAGAGAATGGTCCGAGGTTCAGGATTCAGGGCTGTGAAATGCTCCGACCACGCCAGCAGACCCAGCCTCAGGCTCTCTTCAGCCCAGGGCCCTGAACACAGAGCCACACAGCGCCTCCTGCAGAAAGGTTTTACCAAAGTGGGAAACTGTGAGGCCCCAGCCGCAGAGGATGGGGGTCTGGGGTGACGAGACAGACAGGGAGCAAAGCTAGAGGCCGGGCGTCCTGTGCTCTGCCCCCACATCCCAGCCCCATGGGAGGCACACAGGTGGCCCGGCAGGGAGTTCACACCTGGAAGCGGGTGAGGAGGAGGTTCCCAGGGAGCATCCCGAGGACCCTGAAAAGGCCCTCAAACATCTCAGTGCACAGGTCAAGCAAGGACCTGATCTGCAGAAGAAAAACAATGTCTGGGAAGAATCTTACGTGTGTACACGCAAATGTGCATATGTCTAGCCATAGAAAATTAGAACAGTCCACATTGGGCTTACGTGTGTAGATTTGGGGTTTGCTAGAGTGTTTATTTCATAGGATAGGGAGAATCTATAAGCTTTGTGCTGCTTGTGGCCTCTAAAAGTGTGTCTCCCGACCTAGAGGGCAGAGGAAGGGGAAAGGGACTCACGCTTAGACCTAGTAGTTAAGCAGGCGTCTCAGTAAAGGTTTGGGCCGGCTCTGGGGCCCTTTTTTTTTTTTTTTTTGGTACCGGGGATTGAACTCGGGTCCTTGTGCTTGCGAGACAGTTCACCAAACCACTGAGCTAAATCCCCAGCCCTCTGGGGCCCATTTTAAAGAAAGCACGAGAGGAACAGCGAGAAGCTACCCACATTGCCCTCGCTGGCCCCTTGGAGGACTTCAGGCTCCAAGAAGCGAACCTCAGACTTGAGCTTCTGCTGCTATGCAGGACACTTTTGCATGAGTTAGAAAAGCTGACCCCTGGGAGCCAGCCAGTCTGTAGGGCAGACCCTGTCCCAGCTTCCTGCAGATGGCACCCCTCCCCAACTTGAACCCCCAGTCTATGTCCTTGGCCACCTCTCCGGTGGGTTGGACTGACCACGTCCTGGGTGCCCTCAGTGGGCCGCTAAGCCCTCAGCTCAGTGCCCCCTACTTCTGGTGCCTTTGGGTTCAGAGGGCAGGATAAGCAAGACACAAGCGTACATGGGACTGGAATGTAGCTTGGCTTCCCTGGGCCATCAAAAAGAGAAAAAAGAGGTGACTCCCTGGAGGTTAGGTACCAAATAAAGTAAGAAATTAGAAGGAAATTATCTTGGTAGTACTGTGATAAAAACAGCATGGTACTGGCAAAGAAACAGACCTAAGGATCAGTGGAATAGACTGGAAGATACAGAAATAACTCCAGACATACTCAGCTACCTTATCTTTGACAAAGGAGCCAACCATCCTCAGTGGAGGAAAGAAAACCTCTTTAATAAATGGTGCTGGAAAAACTGGATCTCAACCTGCCAAAGATTTAAACTAGATCCTTATCTTTCATCATGCACTAAACTAAAATCCAAGTGGATTAAAGATCTAAATATTAAAAAGGAAACACTAAACTTGCTGGGAGATAAGTTAGGCAGAACTCTTGAAGACATTGGCAAAGGAAAAGACTATGAAGAAATCCTCAGCAGCACAGGAACTAACACAATCAACAACTGGGATCTCATTTTATTAAAAAGCTTCTGCACTGCAGAAGAAACCACCAACAGAGCTAAGAGACAACCTACAATGTGGGAAAAAAAATTACCAGCTGCTCCTCAGAAAAGGACTACTATCTAGAATATATGTAGAACTCAAAAAAAATCAGCCCCCCCAAATATAAAGACCCAATTCAAAAATGGGCATCTGAAATGAACAGATATTTCTCAAAGAAATAAAAGCAGCAAATATATATATGAAAAAATGTTCAACATCACTGGTCATTCGAGAGATGCAGATGAAAACAACACTGAGATTCCACCTCACCCCACAAAGAATGGCTGCTATCAAGAAATCAACCAATAACAAATGTTGGCGGGGTTGTGGGGAGAAAGGAACCCTTCTCCATTGTTGGTGGGAGTGCAGACTGGTGCAACCACTGTGAAATCAATACGGAGATACCTCAAAGAACTAGGGCTACAGGTCCCATTTGGCCCAATTATCCCTCTGCTAGGTATCAAAAGAATTAAAATAATCATACCACAGTGATATATGTGCACCCACGTTTATAGCAGCGCAGTTTGTAATAGCTAAAACTTGGAAACAGCCCAATTGCCCATCCGCTGGAGAGTGGATAAAGACAATGTGGTTTTTCTATAAAATGGAATGCTACTCAGCCATAATGAATGAGAAACTAGAGTCATTCATAGGAAAAGGGATGCATATTGAAGCTGTACTCGTATGTGAAATAAATAGGACACACGTGTAAATACCGAATAGTTTCTCTGGTGTGAAAAACTAAAAGTGTAAATAAGATCCAAACTGTATAAATGACAATTTATTTAGGGCAAAGTGTGTAGGGGAAGTGGGAAGGGTAGGGGAAAAGAAAGAAGGGAAAAGAAAAAATATGAGAAAGGAAAATGGAAATAGGTAGAGGGGGGGTGAAGGGAGGGCAGGGAATGGGGAACAAATGAGAACCAAAGATCTGTCGTGTAGAGGTACAAGATCCCAGTGATGATGTAACTGTACTGTATACTTTAAAAGTACCAGTAAACTCATTGAAAACAAAATTATCTTGGCGGCGAAGGTAGGATGGGCATGAGATCCAGCACAGTACTCGAGTGAAGTATGCTCAGTGCTACAGGATCAGATGACCACTGATCAGATGATCACTGCAGATCCCGGCGGAACAGATGTCACGTCTGGGAGGCGGTGCTCGTGACTGGCACAGACCCTGTCTGTGAACTGACCCCTTTGCCTCTGCTTCCGGACAGGCTGCCTGCAACTGTTTGCCCACCTACAGCGGCGACGGGAAGGTCTGCACTCTCATCAACGTCTGCCTGACCGTGAGTAGGCTCCACCGTGGCCCCGGGTCTGGGTACAGCTGCTCAGGGATTCCCCGAGTGCCAGGGATAATCCAGAGGCACTGGAGCACCAGAGCAGGGTCCTGCCAAGGGGCCCTCCTGAGTCAGCTGATGAGCTTAACACACAGTCCAAAGTCGGTCCCCAGCCGTGGCGATTGGCTGACTGAAGACTGATGTTAATTAGTGGGTTTGGCTTGGTTCTCTGTGTACCTACGGGGGAGGAGCACGACTGCACTGCAGAATGTGAAATGTTATGTTCTGATACAGGCAGAACTATGGTGATAGAAAAACGATCAGTGGTTGCCAGGAGCTGGGGGCAGGAAGGATGCACAGGAAGAGCACCGTGAACTTTTAGGGCACCGATGGCTCTGTGTGGAGCTATAATGTGGATATAGCTCATGATAACATTTGTCCAAACTCAAGGGATGGACAGCACTGTATTGGCTTTTCCCATCACTGGGATAAAATATCTGACCCTGCCATTTAAGGAGGACGGGTTTACTTTGGCTCGTGGTGTCAGAGGGTTCAGCCCACGGCAAGCTGGCTCCAGGCAGAGTGGCGTGGTGGGAGGACTGAGGGGAGGAGAGCTGCTTGTCATAACCGGGAAGAAGAGCGAGAAAGGGAAAATCCAGAGACAGACGGACACACAGACACACAGACAGAGAGACGAGGAGAGATCATCCAAAGGGCAGTCCCCAGTGACCCACCTCCTCCAACTAGGCCCCTCCTCCCAACAGCCCATTCAGCTATAAACTCATCAGTGGATGAATCCACGTTGAAAACAGCACCTTCATGATCCAAGAACTTGCCAAAAGCTCAACTTCTAAACAAATGAGTCTTTAACACTAGGTATAGAATTTTTTTTATGATCTGAGAGGCCCCAAATCCAGACTCCAGGTGTCTTCCAGGATGTGCCCCCTCCAAGGGCTCCAGAGAACAGTCCCAGCTGGGATCTCCCAGCCGCAAGGGGCTCCAGCCATTCCTGGCCGAGGCTGCATCTCTCCAGGCCCCGCCTCCACCTTCACCTGGCCTTGGTCTCTATGTCTGTGTCTCCTCCTTCTTGTGCAGGCCCTTCTGGGTTCGGGGCCATCTCGTTAACCTAGGGTGGCTCATCTCAACTTCCTTAATTGCATCTGTGGACTCTTTCTCAATAAGGTCACATTTCAGAGAGTGAGTCTCTTCTGGGATCACAGTGCCACCCTCTATAAGCTGGCGGGAGCAGAGACCCATGTCCAAGAGCACTGACTTAGGGCACAGCACAGCCAGAACCTGAACCTGTGTCTGTCTGATTCGAGTCCCCCCCTCGCGAGCATGCGCGTTCCCCACAGGAGGCGGGACCCAGCCACCTTGCTGCCTTTGCTGATATCACTGCGCGCCTGAGCGCTGCCTGCTGTTGGCAGCAAGCAGCCACGGCTCTGGTCCCTTTGCCTCGCTGGGTGGGTCTGGCAAGCTCCTCAAGAGAACAGTGTGAGGACCCTGGGGGCAGGCAGCAGAGAGCGGAGCGGGGCTGGGATTTGACAGCAGTTCCTCCACGAATCACTCAGAATGTTTGAAAACTGACAGCCTGGTGTGGCCAAAAGACCCCTGGGAGAAGGCTCCTTGCCACCCTCTCAGCAGCACCTGTTCTCGGAATTAATCCCTTACCAAGGTCGTCAGGGGCCATTGTGCCCTGGAGGCCAGGCAGGGACATTAATCTGGAGACGAGCGACTGCGAGACACCCAGAGGTGGGTGCCATCTGCCCAGCTCCAGCCCAGCACCGGCCATGTCTTGGATTTTCAGAGAGAAATGAATTTTTATACACATTTTCTGGGGAGTTAGAGGACGGTAATTCATTTTAAAAGACTTTTAAGCCCCGAGTTAAAAACACTCACCAAGCTGCAACTGGCCCAAGGGCCACCGACTTCTGCCCAAGTCCCTCAGCTGTGTTGGTCCCTGTGCCGACTGTCCTGGTTCTCTGCGCTGCTAGAACGGAGCACCTCGCTGGGTAACTCACGATGAACAGATTTCTTTCTCCAGTCTGGTCGAGGTCCAGGTGCCCGCATTTAGCATGGCCTTCCCGCCGTGTCTTCTCATGGCCAGTGGCATCGCATGGCTGAAGGGCCAAGAGGGAGCGGCAGCAAGTGACAGGAGGGGGTCTCATCCCTTCTAGGGCACCCACTTTGCAACAATCTCATTCAAGCTGTAGCTGGAACCTCACAGAGGCACCTGCCCCCAGGATCGGTCCCCAGCCTGGCAGTGGAGACAGCCCCGGGTGTGGCTGCAGCTTCCCTTCCCCTTGCTGGATTCCCAGAGGCTTCCCCAACGCCAAGCACCATGCCTGGGTTGGGATCCTGACACTGCTGATTCAGGGAGACTTGGTTAAACACCTTGATTTCCCTGTGCTTCAGTTTCCCTTCCGTAGATTGAGATCATAATGCCTCACTCAAAGAATTATCCCAGGGATTCACTGAGCTAATGTTCATAAAGTATTGTGTTCCAGTCTTTGGCAAATACCAGCTCTTGTTATTATAAATATGATCGTGACTGCTCAGTCACCCCAAATGCCCTGTGCCTTCAGGCTTCCTCTTAGACTGAGACAGCCCTGCAGCACTGACCGGCCGCCCGCCCAGGTCCTTGCCACAAGTCAAGCAGAGTTCCTGCTTTCTCCTCTAGGAACCACGCTGAGCTCCCAGCATACAGAAGCTTCCATGGTCTCTAAGCCGCCTCAGCCCTGACGGTGGTTGACCAGGGACAGCTGCTGCCTGTGGCCCATTACTATCAGTTAACTTGCTAGTGACCACAGCTGACCATTCCACTTAGCTTGGTCACGCTCAGAAGATAGGGACCATACGTGCTGCTGTGTATCTGGATGTGGGGACCTGGCACGGTGTTAATACACCGGGTACTGGGTACTGTCCTCTGCCCAGAGTAGTCTCTTTCCTTAAAGAATTTACATGTAGGAAGAAGCAGATGTGAAGTGTTTAAATAATGCATTTCTTTAGAAAGAGGTTTAGGGGCCGGGGATTTAGCTCAGTGGTTCTACTGCCTGCCTCACAAACGCAAGGTGCTGGGTTTGATCCCCCGGTACCAAAAATAAATAAATAAGTTTTAGGTGATAAGAACATTCGTGAGGAGAAGTCTTTTCCTGCTGCTATAAGAAAATATTGCAAACGGGGTAGCGTATAAATAACAGAACTCTATCGCTCGTGGTTTTGAAGGGTGGGAGGCCCGATGCTAAGGCACTAGCAGATTCTGTGTTCGGCGAGGGCGCCTCCTGGGTCCTACGTGGCGTCTGCGGTGCGTGCGTGCGTGCGTGCGTGCAGCCTCCCGTGGTGGAAGGGGTCGCTGAGCTTCCTGCCGGGCTCTGATCCATCCACAGGGTCCTGACGACCTCCCAAGGCCCCGCTCCTCCCTTCTATCGTCACCTTAGGGTGAGGACTTCAGCATAGGACTCGGGGGTTGGAGGGATCCCGGCGCTCGGTCCGCGGTAGACACTGGGGAGAGGGCGGGTGACTCGGGTGAGCAGAAGGGAGGGCTTTGGTCCCCCGGGGTCTGCTGTACCCAGGGGCTAGGAGCCAGCTCAGCCCGGAGTGCAGAGCGTGGCGGGGTGGAGGAGAGAGAGAGACGTGAAATGCCCTCTCCAGAGGGAGGGACCAGAAAAGTGGCTCTGATGGCGCTCAGTGCTCCTCTGTGTCTCGGCTTCCGGGGGCAGGGACTTGTGTCCTACCAGCGGTCCACTGGCTGCCTCCTGTCTGATGCCTGTCCCGGCTTGCGACCAGGTTCCTCTGCGTACCGCAGGGCCTTCCTAACTCAACGCTATGTGACAGCCAGCTTTACTTCTTTCCTTAAAGTTAAGATGGTGGTGGTCTAAATGATGAACCGATTTAATCCGTAACTAAATTAACGTTGAGACTTTTTAAAATATAACATTGCAGCTGTCAGTCGGAAAATGTATTATAAAGTTTTAAGGCTATATCAGAAACAAAATGTCTATTTGTACTATAAAGAAAATGTAGGCCGGGCGTGGTGGCGCACACCTATAATCCCAGCACTCGGGGGGCTGAGGCAGGAGGATCGCTGTGAGTTCGAGACCAGCCTGGACTACATAGTGAGTTCTCAACTGCATAGTGAGACCCTGTCTCAAAAAACATAAAAAACAAAACAAAATGTAATTTTGCAATTAATGCTGTACTTCTTTACTGAAAATGTTCACAGTTTTGCTTTCAAAGCTTCTCACGGGACCATTTGCAAATTCCATATGTAATTTGATAAAATACTTTAGCCACACACAGAAAATAATCAGAGTTCAGCCTAAAGATAGGACTTGTCAAACAAGACCGGTACCTTTCCAATCAGCCCCCAGGTGCTGAGAAACTTCTGATTTGGAGATTTTTTATTTGGGTTTATCTAGAGAGGGGTAGGGATCTTCTGGGATTGGTCTTGGGGTATAAGGCAGCCCTAGCAACCACAGGGAATTAAATATCAACTTCCAGAAAAGAATGCGGCTTGTCAGACTCAGACAAAAGAGTCATTTCTTATGCTTTTTGTGGTGCTGGGGATTGAGCCCAGGGCCTCGAACATTCTACCACTGAGCTGCAGCCAAGCCCTCCAAAAATAGCTTTCAACACACAATTCCTTGGCAGATACCGCAGAACTGGCAAAGTAACTGTCTGACCCCATCCCCACCCCTTGGCAATTTTACCAGAAAAACGGCGGCTGCAGCCCCTACGCCATCTGCAATCACACGGAGATGGGCGAGCGGACTTGTACGTGCAAGCAGAACTACACCGGGGATGGATTCACCTGCCGGGGCTCCATCTATGAGGTAAGACGAGGAGCCTCCACGAGGAAACTCTGGGGCTGCACGGGAGCTTCGGGAAATGAGAAGCTCATGAAAATGGGAAAGGCTGAACTTACGTAACTTGGCAGTGAAAGGAAAGTCACCTCCCTGGTGTGTGAAGAGTGTGATGATTCAGGCCCACCGAGAGCCGGGCACAGTGGCGCATACCTGCAATCCCAGCACTCGGGAGGCTGAGGCAGGAGGATCGCTGTGAGTTCAAGACCAGCCTGGGCCACACAGTGAATTCGAGGCCAGCCTGTCTCAAAGTAAAGAAAAGATCAGCCAAAGTTCTGGAGTCGGGAACACCTGGGTTTGAGTTGGGTTCGGCCAGGTGGTGCCTCTGTGACTCTGAGTACACTGCATCACCTCTCAGGTGTTTAAATCTGTAAAATAACGATGGTATCAGCCCTGCCAGCACAGCACACAGCTTAAGCACTGCCATGATGTGGACTGCTGTTGTCGCACGTGCGCATGTGTGTGTGTGTGTGCGCGCACGCACTGGGAGTGTGCCCACCTCTGCACACCTGTGTAGGACACAGAAAATGAGAGGATCTGGTACTTGTAGATGTCTACTGATTACAAATTTAAGCATTCTGGCTGATTGCATATTCTTGCTCATCGAGAAACCGAATCTGCTTTAAACCTATAACCAGCTTTTTAAAACATGTCGGCTCTACTTGGAATATTTTGTAAATGTTTGAGCACAATTTTAAAAGGTTCTTTGAGGGCGGAGGCTTTGGAAGTAGCTGAGTCTTTCTGTGATGCGTCAGATGGAGACTGCAAAAAGGTTTGGACACAGAATGTGTCCATACTGTCACGTGAGCTCACTGCAAGGCCGCAGGAGGCTGCACAGGGGCCCAGATCACAGATTTCCAGCTGGGGGACGGCAGGTCCTTACCACCTTAGAAAACTCACCCTTCGCAGCAGTGCTGTCTCAGATTGTACTTGCAACCCGAGGGCCTGAAGCAAAACTACCCTGTCTTCTTTGTCTGCAGGAGCTCCCCAAGGACCCCCAAACGTCCCAGTATTTCTTCCAGCTTCAGGTAAGAGCGTGCATCGGTCTGGCTAGAAGTGGGGCCCCCAGCTGGTGGGGGCTCTGAGGCAGGCGCTTGCCTAGGGCCCCAGGCCCCAGTTTCCTCCCCAGCACTGCAGAAAAGTCAAATTGCTCCTGCTCCAGCTCCCAGAGCTAGTAAAGGAGGATGAGAAGTCTGGGACTTTTCCAGGGTTTCTGGATTAAGCAACCCTGGTTGCTGGTCATTTCTGAAATGCAGTTCTCTGTCCCAGGGGCCAGGAGCACTGGCCCTGTAAAACAGAAGAGCACAGTGCATTCAGATGCTGCCTATGAACACTTCTGCCAGCACGGTGCCACGTGAACACTCGTGGTCCCACGTGGTGATTATGGGGCTGACAGTTTCCATTGCTCAGTGATGTCACACCACGGTGACATCATAACTGTGGTGATGTCATAACCACGGTGGCATCTTTGTCGTGATGACACAGTTGTGTCTCCCTGCGGCACCCTGTTGTGCGATGGTGACGGGATGGTGCCGTGCCACACCGTGGTGACGTCAGGGCGCAATGCATTATGTCTGTAAGCGGTGGGTGTCGAAATTTAAAAATAAAAATAATTTGCCTGGGCATGGTGGCGCATGCCTGTTATCCCAGCACTTGGGAGGCTGAGGCAGGGGGATCGCTGTGAGTTCGAGACCAGCCTGGGCTACACGGTGAGTTCCAGGTCAGTCTCAACTACATAGTGAGACCCTGTCTCAAAAAACCACAAAAATAAAATAAAAATAATTTTATAGGATGAGAATATAAGAGGCCAGGCATGGTGGCACACACGTGTAGCCCTAGCACTCGGGAGGCCGAGACAGGAGGACTACTAGAAGTTTGAGGCCAGCCTGGGCTGCACAGCGAGACCCTGTGTCCAAAAAATAACAACAACAATAATAATAAAGATGGAAATATTTATATAGCTGTGTAGTGCATTTGTGTTTTACGCTGTTACTACAGATGAATCAGAAAGCTAACCTTAATTTGTAAAGTAAAAAGCTGCAGGAGGCTGACTTCATGACTGAAGAAAGAAAAGACGTTCAGTAAATGGAGCCTTGCAGGGACAGCGCGGTGGGCGGTGGCACCGAGGCCCTGTGCCCGTGGTTGGTCCCTGAGCCACTCCCTGCCCTGTGGCTCCTCCGTGGCCCACGCTGCTGCTTGGGTTCACACCCCAGCGACCGCTGTGCCATTCACAGGCCTCACCACGCAGCGGGGCACTGAGGTTCAGGTCCCCAGGGTCAAAGTCAGTCAGGAGCGCGTTGCTCAGAATGTAACCCTGGTTGAGGGGCGCACAGCTGCTGATGGAGAAGCCCATCTCATCAGGGAGGAAAGAAATGTGCCTGGGGCGAGTAGCAAGCACTTCAGGTGAAAACTACAACTCTGATCTTCCCACACATCGTACACCCGAGTAGATTCCAGACCCACTTAAGAATGAAACGTGCAGCCCGCAAGAATAAAGTCACTGAAACACTAGAAGAAAATAGAGCCATAGCAACCGTATGACCTTAGTGACAGGAAGACAGTTGTGACAGCAAAGCACACACGCGCACGCGCACACACACACACACACACACACACACAATTATCCTGGTTATGTAAAATATTGGCATGGAGAGGAGACACTGGAAAGGAAAACTTGAACGTCGTAACTGAATGATCAAATTGCTTCTGGATGGTGAAATGATAGGGGTAGCTATTATTTTCTTCCCTATGATGTATTTTCAAAAGCTGTAACCCAAGAAGCATGTGATGATGTCTTGGGTGAGAGGTGATGAGACAGGATTTCACTTGAGGTCCAGGCCGGCCTCAGACTTGTGGCAATTCTCCTGCCTCACCCTTCCAAGCAGTGAGTTTATAGACATATGCCACCACACCTGGCTGTGTTATTCTTATAATTAGAAAAAGAACAGGCATGGTGGTGCACACCTGTAATCTCAGCACTCAGGAGGCTGAGGCAGGAGGATCACTGTGCGTTCGAGACCAGCCTGGACTACATAGTGAGTTCCAGGGCAGTCTCGACTCCATAGTGAGACCCTTTCTCAAAAAATCAAAAAACAAAACAAACGAGTGATTTTGGTGGCAACGAATCTGGATTTAATTAGAATCCGAAAATGAGACACTGGTCTCTTCATCCGGTTTCCTCTGCACTGGGCTACTGCCAGCACCTGAGCAATCACTGGAGCCCCTACCTGCATGGCTGAGCAACTGGCGACCTCCTCCCTTCCTCCCTCCCCACCATAGGAGCACGCAGTCCGAGAGCTGGCGGGCCCGGGCCCCTTCACCGTGTTTGTACCTTCATCTGCAGCATTCGATGAGGAGCCACAGGTGAGCCGCAGGCTGTGGGCAGGTGGGAGGTTGGGGACCTGCTCGGGAACCAGCAGTGGTGACATTTCCGGGCAGGACTTTTGGGAACAGGCGGAGCTGAGGAGTACGTGCGGTTATCTCAGCATGGGGTCCACTGCTGGGGAAACACAGGTGGATTTGGGGTAAAACCAGTCAGAATCCCTTTAAAGGACATTCCTAAACAGAGTAGGAAGTGGGAGAAGACCATTGAGTCCTCACATAGACAAAAAATAAATAAGTAAATAATGGGGTTGAGAGTAGGGTGCTAGAGTAAAGAGACCTAAGTGTCTTATCTTGCAGGACTTATCAGCGCCTTTACCGGTGTAGCGTTCACTGGGACTCTTCCTGCCATCTTGCCCACAGTGGTGATGGCAGCAAACACTTCCTGAGTCTGCCAGGCCCTGCTCTGAGCACCTGGCCTGCATGGGCTTAGTGGACCCTCACAGCATCCCGAGAAAAGACAGGCAGCAGCTGGAGCCCTTTTCTTTGTCCAGGAGCCTTGCGCATGCTTGGCAGGGGCTCCACCACCGGCCGGGACCCAGCGAGGCGCCACCGAGGCTCCATCCTAACCAGGGCAGACCCTGCCTACCTGTGCGTGTTCTGAGCACCGGCAAGCGAGGCACAAACACAATCCAACATCTGTTAATTTTTTAAAGCATCAAAAAATTATCAGGAAGCAGGGACAATTTTGAGGGCTTCTATTGCATCACCTTTAGGATTGGCATTGTTTGTATTTTTGGTTCCCAGTGGAGATACATCGGGTCTTTCCCAGCACTGAAGGTTTGCGTGAAGCCCCACCACCTCTCCAAGAAAAATTTTTCTTTTCTTTTCTTACCTTTTCTTTTCTTTTCTTTTCTTTTTTCTATATTGGGGATTGAACCCGGCGCCTTCGCACTGAACTACATCCCCAGCCCCCTTTTTACATTTTTCATTTTGATGTGAGGTTTCACTAAGTTGCCCAAGCTGGGTTCAAACTTGAAATCCTCCTGCCTCGGCCTCCCAGAGTGCTGGGAAGACAAGGCTGGGATGTCACTTTCATGGAGCATGCGGTAGTGCTCCAGGGTCTTGAAGCGCTGCATGCAGGACCCTGTGCCCCCGACATACCTGACCGCACCTCCCAGGATGGGTGGGGACGGCACAGGAGAGAAGGCTTCCGCCTCTGTCTCCCTTGCAGATCAAACACTGGCCCAGTCAGGGCCTCATGCCCCAGGTCCTCCGGTACCACGTGGTCGCCTGCCACCAGCTGCTTCTGGAAAACTTGAAACTGACCCCAAACGTTACCTCCCTCCAAGGAGAGCCGATCGTCATCTCCACGTCTCAGGTAAGAGCGGCCCCCTCGGGCGCTCCCCGCACTGTGCTCCTCCAGGTGACACCGCGAGAATAATCGTGAAGACAGAGCGGGAGGGAGCTCATCCGGCTCACCCTGACTCCTGGGGGCAACCGCACAAGACAGGACCGTGTGTTACTGCTAATTTCCACTGAGCTCAAAGAGGTTCACTAGCTTGTCCAGAGTAGGACATCAAGAAAGTAGTTCTGCGGGAATTCAAACTCAGAGGGAGGCACACGGGGGAAGCAGAGGGGCGTTAAAGGAAACCAAGAAGTGGGGTGTGGTGGCACACACCTGTAATCCCAGCCCTCCAGAGGCTGAGACAGGAGGATCTCCATGAGTTTGAGTGCAGCCTGGGCTACATAGCGAGACCCTGTCTCAAAAGAAACTAACTAAATAAATGGAAGCCAAGAGTGGGCAGGGGTAGAAGGGTAGGTGGGCACGACCCACACTGCACTGTCACAGCCGATGCCGTGAACAGAACCGATACGTGGTCATGGCTGCAATTTTAAATTGTTTAAGGAGAAGGTGATTCCGAGCTGCCTGTTTATTTCATATCTCATGATCATCCTGAAATGAGCTTTTGGGCTGATTATATGTTATTTGCCATTAACTTCTCCAGGTAGAAATCACACTCCTGTCTCAGTTTTCTTTTTATAATCATAATAGGAAAAGTATTCAGGAGTCCCCAGTCTTCCGATTCAGGCCCTGATGACCTAGTATGTTAGAGAAGCATTTTGTGCGAAGTGATTTTTGTGTCTGTCTCCGTGTTTGTGTACATCTTCACCTTGGTTGATTGCAGGATACAGTGTATGTAAATAACCGGGCCAAGGTCATATCTGGCAATATCATCAACACTAACGGAGTCGTCCACGTCATAGACAAATTGCTGTCCCCCCGGAACTTGCTGTTCTCCCCCAGAGACGCTGCAGGAAGGGTTCTGGTAGGTGATCTCATGCCCCAGCCACGGTGCAAGTGGCTCAGACTTCCATCTCGGTTCTGACCCCAGGCATGGCTCTGAAATACTGCAGTTTTGCTGCTTCAATCTTGAGTTATCCTTAAAAGCCTAGCAAACATTATTCTTAGGAAGAAGTAAAAAAAGGAATGATCTATTTGAAATGGATATATTCATTTTAACTGGGTGCTGTGGTGAGCATCTGTAGTTCCAGCTATTTGTGGGGGCTGAGGCAGAAGGAGTTCAAGAGCAGCCTGGGCTACACAGTGAGACTTTGACTCATAAAAAGTGTACAGGTGGATTTCGTGTTTCGTTGCCACTGCTGGGACAGAATTCCTGACCCATACAACTCAGAGGAGGAGGTGGTTTATTTGGCTCCCAGGTTCAGAGGTTTCAGCCCATGGTTGGCTGGCTGCGCTGCTGAGCGTGTGAGGAGAGGCAGAAACATCATGGCGGAGGCTGTGGTACAGGAACGGTGCTCACTGCAGGACACAGGAAGCGGAGAGCAGGGGGAGAGGACCCAGAGGAGGTCACCAAAGAGCAGACCCAGACCCGAGGTCACACCCCATGACCCACCCGGATGCTCCCAAGTGTGCTTGGCTAATGTCCTAGGCATCTCTCAGGCCACACGAGTTGACACTCAAGGTTAACTGAGAAACTGAGTGTCCACCAGAGCAGGTGGTCTGCATAGATTTTAAGAATGAATGGAGGGGAGGAGAGGAGAGGGAACAGGTGAGGGGGGAGGGGCAGTGTGTAGGGGGTAGTGGGAAGGGGCCGAGGAAGGAATTAGACGTCACTACAATAAACCTAGCGTAAGACTCCTCAGTGGACACAAAAGACCACTGTAGCTTTATTTTTATCGACTAGTACTGGCTTCAGTACAGATTACAGATTCTGCTCAACCCACCGACAGACACAAACGGGGTTTCTAACAAATGGAGTTCATCGCCCGGCCTCTTGGAAGGCCAGAGCCTAGTTCAGGTGCCACACAGTGGGGACCAAGCAGCCCAGGGACGCCCGCCAAGGAGGACCTCCAAGCTCGCCTGGGGCACCCGAGACTGGGCCACCGCTGCCCCCCATCGTGCTGCAGGGCGCCCCACACAGTGCCAACAGCTGCCACTTCTCCCGTTACCCCAAGTCCGGCCCTGCGCGTCGGGAGAAGCTTGTGGGAGGCGCACTGGGCCCCTCCAGCCCAGCAGTGCTTCCCTTCCCCGCCCACCCTTCTTATCTTTACAGCAAAACCTTACGACGGTGGCGACAAACCACGGCTACAGCCGCTTCAGCAGACTGTTGCAGGCAGGTACCCGCGCCCGGCGGCCTTCCGTCTGCTGGTCTGGGCGCGCAGCAGGCTGAGTCCGGGTGGGAAAGTCCTCGTTTCCGAGAGCAAAGTCCTTCCCTACCACCCCGCCCTCAAGGTGCTGTGTGTGGCGTGGGGAGCCAGACACAGAGCCCGGTCCGAGCCGGACGCATCTGTGGCTGGAGAGGGAGAGGAAATAACCAGCCCTGTGCGGAGGTGGAGACAAGGGATCCACACCCAGGAGGCGGTGGGGCCCGGATCTGAACCTGTGTCTTTCTGATTCAGAGTCTTCCCACGAGTTGAGCAAGTCCTTCTTGTTCAGATGGACGATCACGGAGGAGGCCATCCGAGGCCCCCCTGACTGGGCAGACCCCAAAGGGCCCCAGGAACCCCGGGGTCACCCAGCACAGTCTGGAAACCTCACCATGAGTCCCGGGGCTCCCACATGACCTGGGTCTCCTACTCTCTGGAAAGCTTGTCAGCAGCGGGGCTGCCGAGATGTTCAAGCTGAAAACTCCCCAAGGGGGGTCACAGCAAGTAACCTCTGCCCACCTCCCCACCCCTGAAATTTACAGTCACCCCACACCTGGCACCAGCCTCTGGTTGAACTCTGGCTTCTAGAACAAGCGAGGAAGGCTCTCCGGGGCTCACTGAGCGGGGGTCACAGAGCCTACTTCATGAAGTGATTGGGGAAATGGAAAGAGTTCCAGGGTGCGGCCTGGCGGTAGAAGGCTCTGGAAAGATTCCTCCCTGTTCGTTTTGCCATTCTTGCTGTGCAGTATAAATGGTCTAGAAATCTCACAAGTCGAAAGGAGTGCTGCAACATCAAATAGGCTTTACTTTTTAAGATAAAATACAAGAAAAATGCAAAGCAGATCCTTCAGAAATTCCAATATTAGGGCAAAAGCAGTATATAGAATAACAAATTCACTGAAGCCTGTTAATTTTCCAGGTCGCAGAAACTTAGAATTTCACTTTCTGAGTTGCTTTCTAAGGAAATGTGGGTCAGACTGGCAGGTGCCTGGTGGCCCCCTGGTTTCTGGCCCTGTCACTCTAAGGGTGGCACCAGGCCCCCGGAAGGCATGGGTCGGACCCCAGACTCACCGAGGCGAGGCTGACTCCCTTCCTCGCAGGACTCAGGTTTGCTGAGAGTCATCACCAACCCCATCCACACCCCGGTCACTCTCTTCTGGCCCACGGACCACGCCCTAGAAGCCCTACCCCAGGAGCAGCGGGACTTCCTGTTCAGCCCAGACAGCGAGGACAAGCTGAAGGGGTGTCTGAAGTTCCACGTGATCCGCGATGCCAAGGTACACGGTACTCGCCCCACCTGCGTCGGGCCTTTCGCTTGCCTGCTTTTGGTTACCCCAAAATCGACCATGGTGTGAAAGGATGAACCGGGGAGGTCCAGGGGTGAACACACCAGTCTGGGTCCGCCATGGGCTTCCGGTTCCTGCCGCACCCTGCTGGGATGAGAAGCAGCCCTGGGTCTGGTGGCTCCCATAGTCGGACCTGCGGTGACCCCGAGAGCCTCGTGTGTTCGGGGGCGGGGCCCGGGGGCGCTGTGCCCGTCCGTGGGTTCGTCCACTCAGGAGCCGGTCCCTACTGCGTGTGCCCTGAGGAGTCTGTGAGCCCCGGATGGCGGCCTCCCTCAGCTCTGCTTCTTGGCTGCCCCAGCGGGACCACGCTCAACTCTGCCGTGCCTCCTACGGGCGGAGACGGACCAGAATGAACTCATCCTCCCTTAGGTTGTGGGTGCAGGGGATTTTGTCCCAGGGACAAGAAAGTGACTGAGACCGTCGCCCGGTAGCTGTCTCAGTTATCAGGGTGACGTGCAACACCACAGTGCTGTATTCAAGGGATCCTTATTTACTAATAATGGTTCCAAAGCGCGAGAGTAGCACCTCTATCGGTTTGTTATAGGATGTCGTCCTGATTTGTCAAGAGTTGTTAATCTCTTTCTATGCCTAACTTAGGCGTTAAACAGTATTGAAGGTATGCATTTATTGGATAAAACAAAATGTATGTAGGCTTTAGTACTGCCCGTGATTTCCAGGCCACTGGGCGGCCCGGAACACATTCCCACAGGCGAGGGGTGACTGCATTTTGTTTCAGTGCAGAAGTGAGCACAAGTCTGACACGGGGTGACAGCCCAGCACCAGAGCCTGTGTGCCACAGACGGTGAGGCTGTGTCTGGGTGCCCTGCCTCCCCGCGTCCCCCTCTGGCTGGCCAGGGGTAGTCACACCCAACAGCGCACCGTGCCCTGCCTGTTTCTTGGACCTGCCATTACTGTTTTTACTGTGTTGTTTTTGTTTTGGGGTTTTTTTTATTGTACCCGATACCCGAGACCGCCTTTCCTCTCTTGGACTGCGGAGAAGTCTTCTTTCCTATTCACAGAGCAGAAGGGCTACTGACCGCAGGCCCCTCGTTTCTCCACACAGACTTCCCCGATTGCAACATTTCTGGCAAGTGACTGGCCGATCTTGATGCAGTCAATCGCTGACCGCCCCCAAACAGATCATGTAGGAATACAGCATACAGTAATCATGTGTCCCATCACTGAGATAGAATACCCCAAACCCACAACTGGATGGCAGAGAATTTTAATCTGGCTCATGGTTTCAGGGGGTTCGGTCCATGGGAAGCTGATTCCAGGGGAGAAACATCGTGGTGGATGGGCGTAGGGCAGCAGAACTGCAGGGGACAGCCCCAGAGAGGACCAGCAAAGGAACCAGATACGGTGCAGGGTCACGGTTCCTTCCCCGCTCAGACACACTCCGCAGTGGGCCCCACCAGTCCCATGGGTGGCTCCCAAGACAACCAGGTTGACACAGAGAAGCTTAACCCCCGCATGGCTGCTCCGAGTCCTCACTCGGGGCTCAGTGTTCTCTCCAGGGCTGAGTCCACCCACTCTAAGACCCCAAATCGCCCCTGGGTTACTTCCCTTCCTAGGGCTCCTGTACCACCAACTGGGTGCCTTGAAGCAGGAAATATGTAGCCCCTCCGATTTCTGAGGCTAAGTGCCTGAAATTGCCTTGCCTGCCGGGTTGTTCCCCTGAGGGCTCCGGAGAGTCTCCTCCAAGTCCTCTCCCAGCTCGTAGGGCCTCCAGCAGCGCTTGGTGTCTCTCGGCTCATAGCTGTGTCTCAGTCTCCACCTCCATCTCTGTGCAAGTCTCTATGTCTTCTTGTGGGGATCTGTGCCTCTTGTTCTTCTGAGGGCCAATTCCTGTTGGAGTAAGAGCCCCTTCTCCAGGATTACCTCATTTTACATAATTAGCTTGTGGGGGTCAGTCCGTGCACATAACGTTCTGAGAGGGGCACAGTTCAGCCCCTGACAGTGCCCTAGGCCATTTCCCAGCCCACCCCACTCAAGCCTTCCTGGCTTCCTACACCGAGACGGAATCTTCACGAACCCCAACACCCAGAGCAGGGTGGCAGGATGATCAAAACCAGCCCAGCCGGCCGAGACTTTCCCTCCAAGAGGAATTTCCAACCTCCTAGAGAGCCCAGGAGTATTCTCTCTCTGTCTTAGTTCTCCATACATGTGCTATGCTTTTAAAGCTGGAACGGGGGCCCAGGATTTAGCTCAGTGCTTCCACTGCCGGCCTCGCAAGTGCAAGGATCTGAGTTCAATCCCTGGTACCGCCCCCAAATAAATAAATTAACAAAGCTGGAACGCTTATAATCCACGGGGCATCTGAAGTTGGCTTGTGCCTGCGCTGGCCCGAGTGTGGGGTCTTCACGGCACCATCTCTCCCACAGGTGTTAGCTGCGGATCTCCCCAGATCTGCTTCCTGGAAGACCTTGCAAGGCTCAGAGCTAAGTGTGAAGTGCGGAGCCGGAGGTGACATTGTAAGTGTGTCCCAGGGAGGGGTCAAAGCGCTGGGACAGCAGCCAGCCCCACCCACTGCCCTTGAAGAAGCCAGCTCCCTCCCTTCCCTAGGTGGGAAGCTTGTTTTCCCTCATTGCCTTTGGACCGTAGACCACAGAACCCGGCCAGCCCAACCCCTTCATGGTGGAAAGCGGGTTCTGGGAGCTTTTTCCCAGGTCTTTCTGAGTCTTGGCGGTGGTAATCCCATCCTGTGGGCTAAAAAGAAGAAATCTCTAAGAGAAACCTCTCTCTCCCACTCTCTCTCTCTCAGGGTGAGCTCTTCTTAAATGGCCAGAGGTGCAGAATCGTGCAGCGGGAACTCTTGTTCGACGTGGGGGTAGCCTACGGCATCGACTGTCTGCTGACGGATCCCAGCCTGGGTGGCCGCTGCGACACCTTCACCTCTTTCAGTGTCCTGGTCAGTCCCGAAGTCACCGGGTCAGTAGGGAACCTCGGACCCAAGAGCAGCCCTGGTGGCCCTCTGAGGCTTGTCTTTAGGGAGACCGGGACCCAAGGGCCCACGGGCCAAACCATGGATTCCTTCCAGTTTAGAATCCACCTCATCGGAATTAGCACAATGGCTCCTTGCCCCCCTCGCAAGTGCAAGACCCTGAGTTCAATCCCCAGTACTGAAAAAAAAAAAGAAAAAACAGAATCAAGCGGCATCTTCTCAGCCCTCCACAGGCCCTGTGTGCCCGCCCACCCACCTGTCCCTTCACTCCCTCAACGTGAAGGAAACAGCCAGAGAAGACCAGGCTTGCCCCGGCTCTTCTGACCATACACTGTCACATCCATCCGCCACGCCTCACTCGGCTTTTGAGCTTCTGCCGGATTATATCATGTAGAGTTGCCATATTTGACAGTTCGGGGCCTGTAACCTGGCAGTTTCTGGGGTTCAGTCTAACATAACGTGCTCCCCTCACATATCCGTTCGCTCACCAATTCACTTAGCACTGGTAGACCTTGCATTGAGGCCTCCACTGTACTAAACACATTGATCCCGTTTTGTCCACCCGGGGCCCTTGGAGGCCCAGCCTGGAGCCACCATTTTGCCCTGGGCCCATCTGGGCCCCAGGAATCCGTCCATGGCAGTAGCTGCCATCAGCCCTGTTGTGTTTGGCAGTTGAGTCTGTAAGAAGTGCGGTGACTTTCCGCGACAGTGCAGTCGGCACCTGGCATCTCACAGGCATTCAGTAAGTGTCTCGGATTTTGGGTTCTGGTCAGCCAGAACCGGGGACGGAAGCAGCCGTGCTTTGTGCCACAGGGCCTCGGGCTGTCTTCCTTTCCAGAGTATATTCACACATAATTTTTCACCTGACCATTTTCCCTCCCCGAACCCTTGACGATGGACTAGCAGCAAGAATTATTATCCCTACTTTATACACGATAAAATGAAGGTCAAAGAGTCTAAGCGACTGGTCTGCCATATCTCGGCCAACTTGAAATGGAGCTGCGCTTTCCTCTGTTGCTAGCCTGTGTCTGTGCCGGCGCCTGGCCCGGTGCTGTAGAACAGGAGCTTTTCCCCTCAGAGAGCCAAAGACGGCCTTCAGAACTCCCTGTGGCAAAGTCGCAGTGTGTTTCTTTTAGTATTCTTGAGCATAGTCAGAATCTTAATCAAGATTAATGAAATTCCCAGCCAGCCCATCCAAGTGTTAATATGGGCATTTCCTTGGTTTTCCAGTATTTTTTTTTTTTTCTGGTACCGAGGATTGAACTCCGGACCTAGCGCTTGCGAGGCAGGTAGCTGCACCACTGAGCTACATCCCCAGCCTGTTTCCCGATATTCTTGATCTTAAAGTCTCTTTCTTTGCGCACTAGGGGGATTGCGGGAGCTGCTTGAATACCCCCAGATGCCCGAGGTGGACCAAACCGCAGGTAACTGTCAAGGCAGCCGTAGCGTCTGGAGAGCTGCAGGGCGTGTTGTGGGGTGGGTGGCACTGAAGTCATTTCCGTAGCTCCTTCTGCAACCGAGTCACACTCTTAGCTCAGTGCCGACCCCCTGCCCGTCTTCTAGGAACTCTCTAGAAAAGTCCTGGAAATGTAGACCTAAATGGGACCTCAGAGATGAGCATCGTTGTAAAAATAGTGGCTACCTAGTGGTAGCCGCTGTCTGTGTCCTGGGCTCTGTCCTGGCCCCTTTATACGCTGACGATCCCTGCCCCTTATATCACACCTGGAGGAAGCTGTTTTTACCTCTGCTATGTGTCCCAGAGAGAGCAGGCCGTCAGCTCCGGCACACAGCTTGTAAGGAGCAAGGCTAGGATTAAAGCCCAGAAAGCTGTGTAAGCTAATAGTAAAATCAGTGCATTCTGGGTCCACAGGTGTGGGGTCAAATTCAGTCATCTTTGGCAAGTTACATGTCGTGTCTCTTTTACTTCCTTAAAAATCAAGCCAGTAACTCTATGTGGTTATCAAAAAAAAAAGGAATTTTAAAGCTGGGCATGGTGGTACACACCGGTAATCCCAGCACATAGGAGGCTGAGGCAGGAGGATTGCTGAGAGATGGAAGCCAGTCTGGGCTACATAGTGAGTTCAAGACCAGCCTGAACTGCATAGTGAGACCCTGTCTCAAAAAGCCAGGAAAAAAAGAAAAAGAAGACAAAATTGATTTAACATGGAGGTGTATTTAAGTGCCTACCACACAGTACGTGCTCCTTAAATACATTTTATTACTTATTCTAGAGTCAGGTTCTTTGTGCCCTCCTAGTAAAACCTCTAATAAAAATACCTCTGCAAAGCAAACTGTGGCTCCCACCCTCCTTGCTGAGGATTTGGGGCATTGCCACACTCTCTCGTGGTGGGAATGGCAACCGTGCCGTTCACACACAGGTCCGAGGGTCCCAAAGTCCTTCCTCTTGGGACCAGGGAGAAGTCTCGCCCTGGACTCCCCTCTGCCCTCCCACCACACCCCGCCCTAGTGCGTTGAAACAACTGGGCGGTACCGAGGTCCACCACGAGGGGGCGAGCTAGAGCCCCGGGCTGCGAGGAAGGGACAACTTCCGGTGGTCCCCTCTCTCCCTCCAGGGTACGAAGCAGAAGTGTTCCTACAGGATACTGCCCTTCAGGAGCGTCCTGGAAGGCTGCCGGAATGAGTGCACCCTGGTGATCCAGCTGCCCAGGTGCTGCAGCGGCTACTTCCTGCCCGACTGCCAGGGTGAGGGCTCCCCTCCGCCTCGCCGTGCTGGGGCAGCACCCAGGCGCTAAGGAGGGGGGCATGGGGTCCCTGGGCTCCCGGGCCCCCAGACGAGACCCCCCCTGTCTCCTGCGGCGCCCGCGGAGGTGGGGCCTGGACTCCAGGCGGGTACAGCGCAGACGTTTGCCCCGGTGTCAGCGCGCAGGAATTTCGCCTTTGAGGCCACGTGGCCTCCGCTGCGTGGATAAGCGAGGCCCACGCGTGACCTCCCATCCGCCGGGCGCCCGTCATTCCCATAAATGCCACTGCCTTTACCCCTGGTGACAGCACAGGCTCCGTTGTTGACCCCGCTTCATAGATGAGAAAGGAGAGGGACAGAGAGGTCGAGAGTGACCCCAGGGCCCCGAATGCGGAAGCCGTGGTTTTTCCTCTATGTCTCTTCCACTGGTCGTAACCCAGGTGGCGTCATTAGGGGCTGAGTCCACGACCAACCCCACAGAATTCAGTGTCTGGCCCTAAACGTGCCCAGCGCTCGGCTTTCGGCCCA